TTATGAAAAGCTTGTATAAGTTTATTAAAGTGTCCAACATAACTCTCGTCTGTTTTCTTACCCCTTGTTTTGTTACAACGTCTTTTTTACCAGCACACACTCCACTGTTTGAATCTTCTTCCATAAAAATTTCTATGGTTTTTCTCAAAGTTATCGATTTTCTTCTTGTGCTTCGTTTTACTTATATTAAAGTTAATTTAGTTTTTCTTTTCTTAATAGGTTTTAATATCTTGTCTCCTTCTTAAACTCCATATTTTGAAACCAGTTTTCCACTTATCATTCTCTGAAATAGTCTTTGAAAAATTATCCCTTAATTGTTGAGAAAGAACTTCTCCACATAATATTTTTTTCTTGACAATATCTCTCGATTTTGGTGAATTAAGTAATGCGCTTACCCTTGTACCTGGACTTTTCTCTATCTCCATATTATTTTGTCCTTTGGATCTCTGAAGCCTTTTTTTGTAACATTGTATTGTTGATTTAAGCTGAGCGATTTGAGCTACCTGTTTTTTTATTAATATATTTCTTGCTCGCCTTGCCTGGATCGATCTTTGTTGTCCAGCTTGCGCTCGTTGAATAATAGTTTAATTAGGAGGAACTTCGTTGTCTGAAGTAGGTAGGGTAGCAGGAGCATTTCCAATATGTTGAAGAGCTATACGTCGTCTCCGCTGTTTTGCCTTTTCTCTCCATATCTTTCTGGCTTTTCGTTGTTCTCTGGGTATCATTTAGTTTACAGTCTTAATAGTTCCCTTCTCTTTTTTTCTTTCATATTTCTTCTTTTCCTTTTCCTTTTCCTTTTCCTTCTGTTGAGAATACCTTTCGGGATCATTTTTTATGCGTTGGTATCTCAATCGTTCTGTCAGACGCTTCTTTTCAAGACGTTCCTCACGAGTTAGTTTCTTTCGAGAAGGCATGATCTAAAGAAATGAAAAAACTTATTCAAACATTTTAGAAATCAATTTAAATAATTGCTACGTAGTAGAAGACTAACGTAAAACCAAATTCATATATTAATAAAAATATATAAATACTAAGAAAGCAGTAATATCTCACTTCCTTATCTACCCTGGATGTAAAGTCTCTACCCTGGCATCTCATGAAGCAGGGGAAATACGGCAGGGAAGAGACGTTTTCATGAAAAAACTAAAATTAATCAGGATAAAATAAGTTGTAATGAAAAAAACAAATGAACACGGTAAACTAAGCTTAAATTAAAGTAAATAAATAATATAAATAGACTTTAAATGTAAATAAGAAATGAATAAAACTTACCAGTGGAGATACTGCAATCACTGACACGTCCGTGTAAGCCGAGTGGCGTGATCAAATTATTTGCCAATGAGAGCGCGTGGATGGCACTCGCGGCGTTTATTACTAACTTAACTTTAAAACAAATGCTCTGCCTATTGAAATTTGAAGCGTCAACGTATTTTTGCGGCATTTATGACGGACGAAAAATAGGCAGGGGAGGAGACTTAATATATGAGGGACAAAAACTGATATTTTTTTTTAAATAGAAAATTAAAGTCATTTGAGAGTTTTTTTACATATTCATTATTGTTAATTATACTGTTTTTTGTAATAAATAACGCTTAGATTTTAAATGAATTAGTAATATGTTAAATTTGGAAGAGTTTGTTATAGAATAGTAAAGAGACAGGCCAGGGTAGATACTTTTTTCTGGGTCAACATGAAATTATAGCTAAACTAAGTTAATTCAGATACTGTAATTCATTGGTAAAAAAGTATGCTTTATTTATTATTAAATATGACTGAGGATTTCCGCGAATTTTCAAATTATGTATGATTTTTTCATGTAGCCGTCGATAGTACCTCTTAACGTAGAACTATCCATATATTTATATATAAGTCATTGTGATGAATGGGGAAACCCATACTGTGAAACAATTCGTCATTACGGTCTTCTAAACATCTGGAATGGCCCGGTCGTGTTTTAACTTGCTTTCCTCATTATACCTTTTCTTTGAAATAAATTCCTTGTTTTATACAGATGCATTTATAAAAGCATTTTTTTTAATTCCATTTTTGAATTTTTATGATTTAAGCTTTTATTTTAATAATGTGAATAGTCTTATAATTACCCTAATTGGTGAAAATAAAATAAAAAATAACGTCTTCATAGAAATGTGTCTCCTTATATATTATGTAATCGTGTTTGTTTTATTCCAACAATAAATTAGCATGAATTTATTGAGTCATATGTAATTTGACGTAAATTCCGATATATAAGTTGTATTGAAGGATATTTACGTAATTATTTTCAACAAACAGTCCATTGACGCTGTTTCCCCCGTACCAATTAACGATTTTTGAGTATTCTGCGATTGTTTTCTAATAAAGTGGTAGCGGTTGAATATTTTTAGAGATATCCGAATTCTACAAAACCCTTTTCCAATTCGTAATAGGTAATTATTGAAATTTATTTCTCACGTCTTAATCTGTTTATAATATGTATGTATATGCTTTTCGTTAAGATTTCCGTTCTCATGTTGCTTAGTGTTTTTTAAAGACTAGTTTTTGCCCGCGACTGCATCCGCATGATCATTGAAATTAGCATAGAGAGATGTGTTATATGTATCTCAACAATGTATATGTTGACTAATCGTGAACGACATATACTATTAAGTACGTATACATATGTATGTCCCGTGGCTTTACGAGAAACAAAACTGCTACGCTGTGATCCCGCGGGAACTACACGAAATCCCGCCATAAACTATGTTTTATTGTTATGTCTACGCTTACTGTAAAGTTTCATCAAAATCCGTCTAATAATTTTTGATTGGACGAGTAACAAACATCCACACAAACTGTCACTATTACAAAATCAGAATAACACTAAATTGGAAATCGGTTATCAATATTAATGAAGATTAATATTCAAATATAGTTAAATAAAATAACTATTTTAATCTTATTATGTCATTCTTGAGATGATAACTCTCAATATAGTTTTAAATAGACTTCTTCAATATAAGTAATAAGATCACCCAGCTTCTAGTCCGGCTTCAAAATAAAACAAGCCTTTGTGTTGTAATTATATGTAAAAAAAATTCAATGTCTCCTAACAGGCCATGCATGCAATTATCAGAGTATCTTGAAGTAATGCATGCATGGTATGCACAAGAAACAAAGTACTATCATCCTGGTAGAAAAGTATAACGCTTTGAAATATTTTGATGCTGAGAAAAATGGGATTTAATATATGGAGACGAATCCTCTCATCATTCAATGTATTCACGGTGCGTGTGTCGGGTCCATTGTTGTAGTGAGAGGAGCTTCAACAGTGACTGTGACTTGTGACCCAGGTGTAGGTTTAAGGGACCCTATCTAACGCGCGTTAAACGCTCACCTCCACTGTCCAAGCTCCTCTCTTCTGAAACAAATTTGAAATCTTGCTTATATTAACAAGGCGAAAGTTTATGAGTATATGTGATTATATCCATGTATGTTGCTTTTTCCTGTAAAAACTGCTTAGCGGATTTTAATGAAACTTTGTTATAATGTAGCTTAGACATCAGAATGGGATAAAGGGCGTTGTTTATTCAGAAATATAGTAATTGCTACGGCAGAATCACGTCATAACGGTTGTATACTGTTTGAAATCATGGGCACTGATAAGAAATGAGTCTTCGCTTGGGAACTACATAATATATTGGTTTTGAAACACATAATGCATTTCTATCTGGTTAAAATATCTAAATTTACTCGAAAGAGTTAAAAAAGTTTTTGGTACAAACTAATACTCATATACCTATATATGGTAATTATATGTGAGTGGTCTGACTGTCCGTTTGTCTTAATTTTATCTATGTAGTAATATAGTCTTTATTAACTTGGTAGTTTTAAGTGTATATAAATGATACAATATAATGCCACAAGAAATACCTCCACCTTCACACATATTTTTTTTGTACCCAATATCTAGATTATAGGAACTTTAAAAAATATATTTATATAATAGAGTAATAAATTGAATAAACTTTAACATTTATACCCAGCGATAGGTATCGACCGGGTTGATTACCTTTAATAAACACGATGACATTTGAAACGTTACAATAATATGTAGATTGTGGCGAAATTTGATAACGACGTACAAAAAAAACGAATTAAGTCCAAAGATCGCTGGCAATGACATCGAATAACAAGAATAATGTGTTCCTTATACATATATATATATATATATATATATATATATATATATATATATATATATATGTATAAGGAGATACATGAAGAAGAAAGTCCTTTGTTAGTATATACTTGTATATGTATATATCTGAAATATACATGAAATTCTATTCTATCTCTTATTCTTGTTGTAGAGTTTTATAAAAATCTCTTAGATACTGATTTCTGAAAGGCAAATGCTCACGAGCTTTATAATATTGGTACCTTATGTTTTTTGAAACACAGGTATTAAAAAATGTTGACGAATCGATAACCTCCTTTTTGAAGTCGGTTCAAGTGAATTAGTAATGCACGCGACTGAGTCACACTTATGGACCTTATCAAGCATTTAGATAATGTATTCAATAGATAGACGGTGAAGGAAAACATCGTGAGGAAACCTGGACTTATAATTACACAATTATAAGTTTGAAATCACCAACCCGTCTTGAGCAAGCGTGGTGATTAATGCTCAAACCTTCTCCATGTGAGAAAGAGGTCTTTGCTCAGCAGTGGGCTCTGATAGGGTGATGATGATTCAATAGACAGATACACACACACACTCATATATGTATATTAAAAGATGTCTGGAGTCCAAGAACGCTTAATTATTATTTTTAAGTAGTTTCTTGTCTCATCAGACAAAACAAATTTTTCTTATACTTTCTTTAAGTGTTTCTACTTCGTCGTTTCTTAATATATATATTACATACATTTAATTCACACATATCGGTTTTAAATTAATATTCAATAGAGAACTTATATGAAGTAATCATGAATATATGGGATATTTTGTATTGTTACAGTATTGGAGCAAGGGGAGCGCCCTGTGAGAGTGGGCACGGAACAGGCTCAAGCCAGACCTGCTGTACAATATATCGCTGAAGATGAAGAGGTAAGGATGATCACACAATTCACTAATCTTTATATATATATAATTTTTCTGTGAGTGTGTATGTCACTGAACGTCTCTCAAACGACTGGAGCGATTTTGATGAAATTTTTTGTGTGTGTTCAAGGGGATCTGGGAATGGTTTAGATTCACAATTGTGTCCGCTGGACAATGATTTTTAATTTATTAGTAGTTGTTGATACAAACGTTTTTTTTTGACATTAGATTTGACAACTAACTAATATATCAATCATTCTGTCGCATTTCAGAGATTTATGACTTTAATAGGTAAACTCCAAAAATATAAATAAAAAACGTAACAGATATTTCTTGATTATAGGGCGATACGAAGTTCGCCAAGTCTTCTAGTAAACATTATACATATACTAGCTTTCCGCCCGCAGCTTCGCCGCGTGGAGTTCGGTTATATCGCGTTTCCAAGAGAACCTTTCAAAAGTCTGGGATAAAAACTATCCTATGTTCTTTCTCAAGGTCAACTCTATCTCTGTACCGAATTTCATTAAAATCAGTTCAGTGGTTTAGGCGTGAAAGCGTAGCAGACAGACAGACAGACAGACAGACAGACAGAGTTACTTTCGCATTTATAATATTAGTAGGGATAACTGTGTAAGAACCATTGATGTGAAAGCCAACGAGACGGGATAAATTATGTAAACAAGATTGTTTTTAAAGCGTTATTTTTATGTCATTTTATAAAGTAAGATAAACCGTTCTAGTTGAATCATTAGAGGAAGTCTAGACTATGTCTGGTAAAACGTGCATATTACTTTCCCTGGACTTGGGGTCGTATTCCTGTAATACTTGTCTTGCGCCAACTAGGAGTCTAGTTATCATGGTATAAAATGGGATGGGATAATCATAAATGTATGTAAAAAATAAAGTTATCTTGTTCTCCATATAATATTTAATATAAATAACAAGATTAAGAGAAATGCAAGGTTAAAATCTCGTGTAAATTTTATATAAGTGATTTCAAAAAGTGAAGGTTTCGCCTGTAATAAATACTCCCATAACACTCTCGAAGGAGTATTTCATAAATTGTATGAAAGTAAATTTGTTCTCCTCAATTTTATTCAGTAAATATTAATACAATTGTAATACAAAGTGGAAATAATATAAAAAGATTTATTTTTAATTAAAATCATTTCAACATATTACTTCCATAATAAATTTTATATAGAATATGTATTATATAAAGTCAGAATATTATAATAAATGCAGTCTATGAATGTATGGATGTTTGTTTCTCGTTAACGCAAAAACTGCTTAACTGATTTTGATAAAAATGTTGAGTAATAGAATTCAGATGTCGGAATAGTATAAGGACTAAAATTTATCCTAAAATTTCTTTTCATTACTCCAGTATCAAAGCATAATAGTTGTATTATGTATGGAGATATTTGAAGCAAAATATAGATGTGGCTGTTCCTTGATTAAAATGGGTATAGCTTTAGAATTATACCTTTCTATCTAACGTTATCACGAAGTGCAAGCGGACGGTGTCGGAGGCGATCACTAGTTAAATATAAACTATTAATACGATTTATTTGCAAATCATATGGCTTCGTATTTAATGCTAATAATAGTTGAAAATAATAATTATTGAAGCCTATCATTTTCTATAAACTTTCATAACAAATTAAAATTAATCAAATTACTATTGTACGAATGTCAATGGTCACAGATAAATATATTTATAGACTAGCTGACCCGGCAATCGTTGTTTTGCCATATAAAAAAATAGGGGTTGGTGATAAAAATTTTGGGTTGTAACTTGTATGTATTTTTTAATGCTACATTATAAACAGCTAAAAAAATTAAGTGTCAACAACCCTTATGAGTGAGGGATATGAAAAATAGATGTTGGCCGATTCTCAGACCTACTCAATATGCTCACAAAATTTCATCAATATCGGTCCAGCCGTCTCGGATCAGTTCTCTGTCTAACACCGCGACACGAGAATTTTGTATATAAGATATATATAATACGAAACTTAAATTTAAGTACAAATTTAAATTAAAAAATTATTTTGCTTAATACTAAAAGAAAAAATACATTATACAATTGATTCGACAACTTTCTTATTTGTTGATTAAAATTGTCTATACTTCAAAGGAATATTCAAATTCAATTGCTACATACATTTAAATTCGCTTTATGTTAAAAATTACGTGTCTAGTATTAATATCTATCACAGTATCGAAAATATGTCGCGTGTCACTCAGATCACTTTCTATAGCCTGTAAGATCGAAAAGCACTCACGCGATCATAAGGCCTCGGCCTCGAATTTTGCGGGCAGCGGAGCGGCAGCGGGAGCGGCAGGATCTTACGCGTATAATCAAATGGACCGACCCTCGAATACAGCGGTGCCCGCTGCCCGCTAGTTTGGAGAATAGTATGCGTTTCCGTGCCGCCGCCGCCGCCGCTCCGCTGCCCGCAAAATTCGAGGCCGAGCCCTAATGCGTAGTGTACAGTCAGATATAGTGTTGTGAAAGAAAATTCATATGATTTATGACGTCTTTTATAATTAGCTCATCTCAAGATAGATACTCGATAAATGATTATTACAAGTTCAATACTAGTATTATCATTGTATGACGGACAATGACATACGAATCTTCACGGATTGAAGTATATGTGTGTGTGTGTGTGTGTGTGTGTGTGTGTGTGTGTGTGTGTGTGTGTGTGTCACAATCATGGTAGTGTGTGTGATGTTTATTATATATTCAATGTATTTTTAGTAGATATTCTATAAAAAATAAGTTTAAAAAACTTCTCTATATTAAATTCGTCTGTGTTAATAAGACATACAAGGTTTTTGATTCACGTATCGACTGAAAAATTCTGATTTTTGTTGCTATAAAAGTGACTAAAAGTGATTTAATACAAACACTATTCCAGTCTATATAAAACATTTAACCTACTTTAGAATTTATTTAATTATTTAATCTGTGATCTAATTTAAGATGTATGTATTTTTATTGTCTATCTTACACCTACATAGAGTTATTAATGCGTCCATAATAAATTCTTATCCAAGGTTTTGCTTACGTTTTAAGAACGCATCTTATTTAAATTTTGCTTCTCTTGTTTAAGTATGTATGTTGTCTTCAAAAAATCCTTACAATTATATAAAACAAACTCGTGTTAGTTACGATATTTATAACTCATGAACAACTATGCGGGTTTGATTAAAAATTAGTAGAGATATAGTTTAGAAAAAGGAAAAGAACGTAGGACACTATTCATGCGATTGAAAAAGAAAAAAATTATCGAACACAAAATCGTCTTATATACAGTCTTCAAAGAGGTATAGAATTCGCCCGGTCAGCTATACGTTTGTTATTCTGAAACTAACACAGACGAAGTCGCGGGCATGAACTAGTATATCTTTATATATATAATTCTTCTGTGAGTGTGTATGTCACCGAACTTCTCTCAAACGAGTGGACCGATGTTGGTGAAATTTTTTGTGTGTGTTCAAGGGGATCTGGGAATGGTTTAGATTCACAATTGTGTCCGCTGGACAATGTTTTTTTAATTAATTTTTAATTTATTAGTAGTTGTTGATACAAACGTTTTTTTTACATTAGATTTGACAACTAACTAATATGTCCATCATTCTGTCGCACTTCAAAACACGGAGGTTTATGGCTTTAATAGGTAAACTCCAAAAATATAAATAAAAAAACGTAACAGATATTTTTTGATTATAGGGCGATACGAAATTCGCCGGGTCTTCTAGTAAATGTATATATATGTGTGTGTGTGTGTGTGTGTATGTCCACCGCATTATTCCCAACCGGATCACCTTAATGTTTTGTAACAAACACCTTTCCCTCGCTCCTATACTTATATACTTACTATGTAACGCGCTCCTAACACTTATATCATTTGATTTTTGTTTTATAACGTGTTATGTTATAAATACATAATAGGTACATGAATATTAACTAACTGCTGATGTTATTAAAAGAGGTTTTATATATATATATAAGTGTGTGTGTGTGTGTATACCTAATCTGTAGGGTGTTAACACGATGCGTTATTAATTACATAACTTTTGGTTAACTTTACTTAGAAGTTTATTAATATTTATGTTATATTAATTTTTATTTTGTCATATATGATCGTTAAATATCACGTCCTCAAGTATCGATAGTAATTCACCAGTCACCTGTATATATATAGTTGAAATTATTCGTCTTTTTGATACAGGGTGGTTCAAAAAAAGTATTTTCATTGTTTTCTTTTCTTATTTTTATTGAAATTAATTTGAAATACATAATACGTTTTGTTATCTCTTAGATTTTAAGTCAGAAGGTTAGCCTTCAAGGTACTCCGCGACGGTGCGATGCCGTAATTAGATGTATGTTCTGTTGTAATCAATTGATTTCTATTGTCCGTAGAAATCTTTTGTTAATACAATTGTTGTATAATGAGAATATTTATTTTTCTTGTTTCCCATAATAGAAGTATTAAAACTATAACTGTACAAGTATTATAGATACGAAATATGTCGCTTGTTTTGTTGAAATGCTGAGCTGATTTTGATGAAACTTTTCAATAATGTATTTCTAATTCTGGCAAAACTTTTTGCTCAAATTGGTTTTTACTCCATGGCATCATTTATAATAATAGTATTTTGTACCATACATTTTTCTTTCATATATTAATTAATATTTTTACTGGTCCCAACTAATAAGACCACATGATCGAAATTAATGAGAAAAATTAATGAAATGTAATCATAATTGATTTATTATTTGAACGATCGATCAACGAATCGCCGTAGGTGGGCTGATTTCGGTGTAATTGAGGACAGATTTTTTTTTGATATATATTTGTATACGTTTTTGCTTATATTCGGATAGCGGGAGATAGTGATCTCGCGATAACCCACTGACATGTTTCCATTACATCAATAATACATAGAATCGTATGGTTTTTATATAATTATAGTATAATGATAATCAATAAATAATATTTGATATATCAATAAAAAAATAAATTCCTTTGATAGGACTCTTCAAAGGTATAAATAATTATAAAATAATAATACGATCGCAAGTTTTTATTTAATAGACAAAAAATATCGTTTTTGCCTTCGTTAGATTTCAACATAGATAGATAAAAAATAGTGATTTTCAAAGTTAAAAGCTCTTTTGATCAGTGCGCTTGACTCAATGACCCGCTTGGACCTTGTCTTGAAGCGAGTCTGACGACCTCACTCGAACTATCACACTCGACTTACAAATAAAAAGAGTCCATAAAAACTTTTAAATATTTCAACTATTCTATACAATTGTTTGATGACAAAATAAGGCTGACTGAGGACGGACGTGGTTGTCATTTATGACATCAAATCGCAAGTGTGTAGCCGGCCTTATTTATGGGTATTGTGAAATTATCATAATTAGATGTTATTCAATATATTTCGACTTGTAAAATTAGTGCTGTTGTTGAATATTTTTGTCTAAACTGTATTGTTAAAATAAATTTTTCATTCTTATATACATTTGTAATTGGTATTATCAAGTGAGAAGACTTATGAATGAATACGTGCAAACTGTAGGTATTTAGTTAGATGAAAACTCTTGTAAAACTTAGGGATATAATTTGAAATGTTTACTTGGTGTAAACTATGTAAACATGTTTAGTAAATCGCTAAACAATGGCTGATGTTCATATTATTTGTGTGTGTCATCTATGACTTCAATAGATTGTAAACACGAAAACTATTATAGAAATAAAAATTTGTTATTTATCTAATAAATATGTTGAGTTAGGTCAGTGATGTGTTAGTCATATTCTAGGAAACAATATATATAGAGGAAACCTCTTATCATTCAATGTATTCACCGTGCGTGTGTCGGGTCCATCGTTGTAGTGAGAGGAGCTTCAACAGTGACTGGGACTTGCGACCCAGGTGTAGGTTTAAGGGACCCCTATCTAATGCTCGTTAAATGCTCACCTCCACCGTTCAAGCTCCTCTCTCTACCTAACCCAATTTGAAAAGTGCCTACTAGGACTGCCCTCGTAGTAGGTGCCAAGAATGAATTAATGTGAGTTTTGGACAAGCCAAAGTATTTTAGTAGGTTGTAGAGAGATTTAGTTGTTGAACCTCTCGCTTCCACTTCTACCGCGTACAAATCTTATTTTTTTAAATAGATATAAAAAAAAATTAAGATGTCTTTGTGACTTTGAGTTTGAAATAATTTGTTTAAAATTAATTAAAGTGGTTAGCCTAGTGGTTGAAGGCCCGCCTCTCATGCATGAGGGCGCGGGTTCAAACCTGACAAGTACCAATGTGATTTTTCCGAGTCATATGTACTTTCTAAGAGTATTTAGACACCACTGACATACGGTGAAGTAAAACATCGTGAGGAAACCTAGACTTATAATTTCAAATTGTAAATTTGAAATCGTCAATTCGTTTTGAGCGTGCGTGGTGATTAATGCTCAAACCTTCTCCATGTGAGAAGAGGTCTTTGCTCAGTGGGCTCTGATAGGCTGATGATGATTAAAATTAATAATTTCCTACTAACCAAACAGTGTTTCGTGTTATGTAAGAACAGATTATTATATAATTACCATATATTGTTCGCGTCAATGTTTTTTATTTTCCAATTAATTCTCTCAATCTGATCTCACGATCGTTTATCAAACGAATCACAAACTAAAACTCGGTTTGATAACATTTAATCGTCTAACTGTAGTTTAAACCGAACCGAACACTTACTTAAAATATAAATACAGTTAGTTAGTTAATGATATATTTTTAACTATCAGTATAAACCTGTTTTTAACTGTAAATAATGATTATTTTCATATAATTAAATTAATAAGAATTAATTTTTTAAATTATTTTAATATTACGTATGTAATATATTATTGTATTATGAAATATTGCTTTATTTCATTCTATAAGGAAGTTATATCAGAGCATTTGAATCTCTAATAGATTAATTTATTCTTGGGGAGAGGTGCTTTTAGACGGTCTGTGACGTCATGACCTAGATAAGTTTAACCTGTAGCTGGTCAATATATATGGTGACTGTATATATATATAAATATATGTATATATATATATGTGTATGTGTGTGTGTGTGTGTGTGATGTGATTATTATTGAGTGAATTCCACGGTTATGTCAAAATATATTCACGAATGTTAAGTATTTTTTTGTATGGTTTTCATTCTATCTATAGATTAATGCACAAGTTGCTGTTACGTGAGCTTATACCTACTTAGACATTTAAGGCTTCAGACTTGTTTTTATTTATATAACAATCTACAATTCCTTGTTCATTTCCCTTCAATGTAAAAGAAAACATTTTATTTCCCGTTAACCTTTATATTTTATAGTGAATGTTTAAATTTACCTTTATCAGTAATTTCTACGATAATACAGGAAAAATATATATTGTAATAAAAGTAGTGGCATTTCATATTTAAAAATTATGCAATCGGGAAGCGAAAACAGAGGTAAGGACTTGAGTGACGCAATATATTTAAAAGGGTATATATATATATATATATATATATATATATATATATATATATATATATATATATATATATATATAAAGTAGGTTCCGTATATGCATAAATATATTTATAGTGTTAAACGTATAGTTTCAAAGTATTGATTAAAATATCTCAATATGTAGATATGAAATTTAATTTTAATATTTAAAAAACTTTATTACGTAAATAGAATTATATGTCACCTTTACAATGTTTCCTCTATAGTGTATTGTTTGAAAATATTGATAAGCATTCTCGTAAGAGACTAATAGATGATATCTCCGTACTTATATGTCGTTTAAATGTATATAATGCTTAGTATCGACCGAGTCCAGTGATGACACGATAGCTCAGTTAGAAAAGAGACTGAAACGATATATTAGAGAGGTTACGGGTTCGAACCCTGTTTGTGTCGATATTTTTTTTATTCTATATTTTCTAACTTAATTTGTTATATATTGTTTAATATGTAATTATATGTATGGACAGACATACGTCAATTTGTAAAGATTCCTCAACGCGTGTATGTCATTGAAGTATGACGTTCAATGATTATAGTAATGAACTTGAAATAATCATTTATTGAGTATCGATCTTGAAATGATCTAGTAAGAATAGAATTGTATTCTGTTATTAATTTTCATTCCATTGAACTTGTATTTCTTATATTTATTAGTTTGAGTTTATCTGCAAGAAAACCACTTTTCCTTGTAAAATTTTATTTTTATATACTGTAATTGTTTGATGTTGTCTAAAGCATAAAGAATATTTGTAAAATTGTTATATATTAAAATCACGGATCTGTTTATCACGGAGGACTAAGAACGAACGTGTTAAACAAATCGAATTAAATTTTAGTAACAAAAAATTAACTAATATGAAACAGAAAAAATAAATAAAAAGTTCTTTGTAAATTGGAAATCATAAGTCCAGGATTCCTCACTGTTTTCCTTCACCGTCTGTCATTGGTGTTTAAATACTCTTAGAAAGTACATATGACTCGGAAAAATCACATTGGTACTTGCCAGGGCCAGGATCGAACCAGCGCCCATGTACACGAGAGGCGGGCCTTTAACGACTAAGCCATCATGACCTATAAACTAATAGTTTGATTTCTTTCCAGGGCGAAGTCCTAGACTGTCCGCTATGCCTGTCGACGTTTCCCTCGTCCAGCATGGTGAGGCTGGCCTGGTGCTCCCACAGGTGCTGCGAGCCCTGTCTGCGGCAGTACCTCGCCATAGAGATATACGAGGCCAGGGTCCCTGTCAACTGTCCCGTATGTCACGAGAATATGCACCCATCAGGTGAGTTCCAGGTCGCTTTTATATCGATTCTTTAGCAAGTAATCATTTAAGTGAAACTAATAGTTAGACCCTGCTTGCTTAGTACAAGTTTAAATGAAACTAATATAGTAATTATTAAGTGTTTAATTTATTAGTAATTGTAAAAAATACCTTAAAAGTCGTTCTTCTGATAATCTGCTTCCTATGCATATACGCGGAATTATCCAATGCTAGTTACCCGGTTTTGCACTGTCCCCGACGATATGTACTTTGAATATATGTCAATAAAATATAATTTTCGGGATTTTTTTTAAAGTAATATAACCCAGAATAAATATTGATACAAACAGTGACGCTGTCGAAGTCATTAGGGCTAACAGCTACAGTCAAGTCGATTAAAAGTTTGCACGTCTGTTAGCTTTTAACTCAGTAACTACTGAACCGATTTTAATGAGATTCTAACAAATATATTGTGGTCAAATTCATTAAGAATATGAGTAGTATTTTCAAGTACTCACGGAACTGAACCGGTAAATAATAAACTTCATACATTTGAATCTTAACCGGTTTTTATAATTCGTTTGTGTTACGACCCGGGTTTCATGATAACGGGATGTAAAGCCACTTTCACTACTATTTTTTGCCCGCGACTTCGTCCGCGTTAATTTCGGAATTAGTAATATATATAGCTGACTGAGCGAACTCTATTTCTCCCTAGAGGGCGTATGTAACCAGATATTGGAATTTACTAAGCATTTTTTTTATCTTTTTCGATCGAACTCAATTTAATATTAAATGTCCGTCTCCTGGTTCTAAGCTACCTCCTCACCAATTTTCAACCATATCCCTATAGCCGTTCTTAAGTTCTAAATAGTGTAACTAACATAACTTTCCTTTATATATATATATATATATATGTTCTATTAATTTTACGTCATAAATGTCGCGGTCTGTGCTCCATATAAAAGGCATTTAATACGTAAACTTGCTTATGACGTCATTGGATAGTAATGTTAATTTACAAATCCATGCCTCATATTCATTGTGATCTGTTCTGTGATTACGAAACAAATGAAAGATAAAATATTTTATCTTTAAAAAGATAATAAAAGATACTTAATAAAATATATACTCTAGATTGGGTATATTTCTTTTCTTTATTCTAATTTGCTTGAAATAGTTCTTTGTTTTAATACATCAGTGTGTTTTGGAAATTATATTGTCAACAACAAATATCAATGGAATGGTTTCGTATGTCGAATGTTTGTTTATCAAACAATAACACCGAAACTGATGATTATTCATAATAATACTAGTAAAATTTTATGTCATCATTATTACTTACTAGCTTTCCGCCCGCAGCTTCGCCCGCGTTGAGTTCGGTTATGTCGCGTTTCCAAGAGAACCTTTCAAAAGTCTGGAATAAAAATTATCCTATGTTCTTTCTCAAGGTCAACTCTATGTCTGTACCAAATTTCATTAAAATCAGTTCAGTGGTTTAGGCGTGAAAGCGTAACAGACAGACAGACATAGTTGCTTTCGCATTTATTATGTTTACTTATTTAAATGAGAGTGTCTTAGTATATTTTTTCGTATGCTCTCATAATATTCGGTCGTGGTTGCTTGTAACAAGTCAAGCCCAGGATATCATGCAATAGATATGACGAGGCGATGCCACAATGCTCGCAATTTACGAATTATTAGACGACCCCCACTCCCGGATCACTTGTCGTACGTCCATAATAGCAATTAACTTATAAATATCTTACGGAAATACTCGTACGTACAATAAGATGGTTAATTAAACTTAAGAAGTATGATAAATATACAAAAAATAGGTTAATTACTAAACGGTCATGTGCTATGTACATACGAGGGGAGGTCAAAAAGTTCGCGGAATGGAGGGGATGGAGGGGGTTGATTTACTCGTCCAGGTAGTAACTTGTTCAACACCTCATTAATAGTATATATACCAAGTTTGAACCAAATCGGGTCATTAACTTTTGAGTTGTTGACCTGCAAACAAGTGAATCGGGAAGAAGTCAGTGAGTATGGAGAAAATTGAACACCGCGCCGTTATTAAGTTCCTCACCAAGCAAGGAAAATCCGCTCAGATAATTTTTGAAGAGCTGTTATCAGTTTACGCGGACTCTGCCCCTGGTAAAACCATGGTTTACAAGTGGCATGGACTTTTTAAACAAGGAAGAGAGTCCATTGAAGATGACGCCCGCTCCGGACGACCGATTGAGGCCACCACACCGAAAATCGTCGCAAAAGTAGAAAAACTTATATTGGAAGATGCCTGGTTGAAGAAGAAACGGCTTGGAGCAATGGTTAGAGTATCTGAAAAAAGCATTTTTAATATCCTACATCATCATCTTGGGATGACTAAGGTCAGTGCAAGATGGATTCCAAGAATGCTCACGCCACTTCAAAAGAGCGATCGTGTCGAGTGTTCTCGCCAGTTTTTGAAGCTCTGTGGAGAGAATAAGGACGAAGTTATGGACCGGATTTTTACTGGTGACGAAACCTAGGTTCACCACTATGAACCTGAATCGAAGCAAGAATCGATACAGTGGCATAAAAAAAGCACAGCTCCTCCAAAGAAGTTTAAAGTGTCACAATCGGCCGGAAAGATCATGGCGACTGTCTTTTGGAATACAGAAGGTATTTTGCTGATCAATTATAAAGATCGTGGTGTGACTATAACGGGACAGTACTACGCTTCTTTATTAGATAGATTGAAAGAAGCTATCAAGGAAAAAAGAAGAGGAAAGCTGTCAAAAAGTGTGCTCCTTTTGCACGACAACGCAACAGTCCACACGTGCCATGTTGCGACGGCTGCCATTCACCGATGCGGACTCGAAAAACTACACCACCCACCTTACAGTCTAGACTTAGTCCCCAGCGACTATTATTTGTTTTCAAAAATGAAAAAAAAGCTGCGGTGAAAAATATTTGAGAAGTCAAGTCCGCAATTTCGGCCTATTTTGATAGCCAAGATAAATAATTTTTTTCGAATGTATTAATAAATTATTTGTGAGATCCGAAAAATGTATTAAGGTTAAGGGAGACTATATTGAAAAGGAAAAATAGTTTCGTGTTAAATTTCAACCCCCTTCCCGCTCATTCCGCGAACTTATTGACCTCCCCTCGTATATGAAAGAAAGTTGTGTCAGTTACTCTATTTATAACTTCAGAACGGCTGTAGCTATAAGGTTGAAAATTAGTGCAGAGCTAGCTTAGAACCAAGAGACGGACATAGGATATTTAATTCTGTTCAATCGAAAGAAAGAAAAGTACGTAATAAATTTCAATCTGATTATTTATTGCGTCTAGAAGAGAATTGTTCGCCCGGTCAGCTATACATATATTACTTATAAGATATGCGCGGACATAGTCGCGGGCGTAAACTAGTTTTTCATATATATCTATCATAATGTTATGTTACGTGATAATTCGTATCATCAGAGTCGGTTTTAGTCCAGGGTCGGGGACGGTACAAGAATATCTCTTCAATGAGAAATGCATTACTGATGCATAAATGAATTGCAATCATTATATCGTCGGGAATAGTGCAAATCCGCGTAACTAGCATTGAATAATTCGGCGTATCTACATTTTTCTATATTAACGAGTTTTAATTTATATTTTTGATAATTACTAATAAATTAAACACTAAATATATACCGATTTTGAAAATATTTCAACTCAAACTTTCTTCTGATAATAATCTGCTTCAAATGTAGGTACACGGAATTATCCAATGTTAGTTACGCGGATTTGCACTATCCCCGAAGATATATAGTTATAATAGTTTTGATAACAATACCAAAGTTAATAGTAGGTGGTAACCAATTCTATTGATTAAAAGAGGGTTATGAAAACGTTTCAGTATATGAAATGAAGATTGTAAAAATGAATGCATAAATTGCGTATGTACAACAAATATTCTTCAAAGACTTTCTCTTATATATCATGGTTGTAACTATCACGACTATCTTATGTAAAGATTTATATAGTCTATTATTTTTCAGAAATACATATATACACATATTTTCCTATATGTATATTTTGCGTGTAAATTTCGAATATATTCTTCACTTCACAATTCTTTTCATTTAAGAATTGTTTTGTTGAGAGATATCTCAATTGAGCAAGTTTATGTTGTAATAATAAATTTATGGAACAGAAAGACATCGGAATCTTCACGTACTGTTGTTTAATGTTTTAACTATCAGACTTAGAACTTAGTACGTGTTTCGTGTTTACGGATATTATGATGGTTTGAATGTACGGAAATACTGACCGAATTAAACTGACAATAATTAAAAATAATTCATTTTACAGTAAAGAAGTAAATAAACTAGATGTTTACATATAGTAATTAAATTTATTTATATTTTTTAATAAGCACACTAACAACATACATATTAAAAGTTTACAGTTAAGGAAGGTGACTATATTATAACAACAGATATGTACGTCAATGTTCAGTGTACATAACATTTACCAAATACAATCAAAAAAGTATACACACTAATTTAAATATAAAACAAAAATACTACATAAAAATAACAAAATTTAAAAAAATATATATAAATTTGAATACATTTAATTTGATTTAAATCAATTCATAATATTTCATAATCATTACTTTTATTATATCGTCATAATAATTACGTACGAGGCTATAAAGGAATGTAATTCAGGTAATTAATTGTATTTAATTGTTTATGTACCCTTGAAGTACAATAAAATATAAATACATACATTAAAAACTCAATTAAAATATCCCTGTAAGGAAAACTGATTTTTAATGAAGTTCCATATAAATAATATATTAAATTTCATTTAAAATTTAATAGTTTTGTATTGAATTTATTATTACTATTAAAATAGTTTTATCAAGTACATACGGTTACATGACAGTAACTTTCTCTTGAAATTTATTAACAATGGCAACATCTCATGCCAATACGATTTACACAATCTCTAAATGTCATCGGAGTTTATCTGATTCGATTTATTAAATTAAATTTTATATAAGAAATATATATTTTGATTGTAATATATACTTTTCAATATACTAGAACTTTTGAATACTTTCTATCAGCAGTAATTATTGATCGACGAGATAGTGTTTATTTAGGATCATTATTAAACAAAATCATTAAAAAAGATAGTTTTCTTTAAATAACATGTCAAACCTTAACTAGAACAAACTAATAATTACATATTTTAAACCTTAAATAAGTTACATTTAATTTACAAAGACACAAGTCGTGTCGACAAATACTTTCCCGCCTAACAGTGATTAAACCAAACGTCATCACTTTGTCATGTCGGGTGCGTTCGGGAATTTAAAGGTTCGGTTCAAATTAAATGAGTATTCATCCTAGCTTTTGGCTTCTAGTCGCGACTTTATTCATACACAAATCCCTCTTTACATTGTTCAGTATAATATCGGCACAACATTGGGGAAATCTATAAGGAAACGCCACTAACTAAAGAAGAATGTGTGTTCTAAATATATGATTAAACAAAAGCTAAATTCTGTTAAAGTGACTTGTACAATCTTGCAATATACTTTATTTTTTCTTTTACATATGCCGTCAAGATTCAACTTAATTTTATAGTGTATATATTTTTTTGGTCTCGTATTGTATAAGAAAACTGACTTACCTAGTGAAATTTAGTTTAGAAAGTCGTATTTCCAAAGTGACGTAATTCAAATTCCAGTTTTAATTCCGGTTTATATTTATCAAACACAAACTCATTTTCTAAATATTTATACAATTCTAATATTAAGTATTAACCGTGACCTACATACCGTGGACCTCGAAATGGTTGGATGCGACCTCTATCTAAACACCTCCATGACCTGCTTCTATCCAGAAGTCTAGATTATGCTGTAAATGTTATTTATATTTCCAGATGTTCGTCGGATAGTGGACAATCCGACTTTATATGATAAGTATGAAGAATTTTCTGTGAGGAGAGCGCTGGCTGCAGATCCTGATACAAGGTGGTGTCCGGCACCTGACTGCAGGTGAGAAACAATTACACACACACACACACACACACATCATCATCATCATCATCATCATCAGCTTATCAGAGCCCACTGCTGAGCAAAGGCCTCTTCTCATATGGAGAAGGTTTGAGCATTAATAACCACGCTTGCTCAAGACGGATTGGCGATTTCAAACTTATAATTTGAAATTATAACTCCAAATTTCCTTATGTTTTCCTTCACCGTCGGTCAGTGATGTCTAAATACTCTAAGAAAATACATATGACTCGGAAAAATCGCAATAATACTTGCCGGGTTTCGAACCCGCGCTCTCATCCATGAGAGGCCGGCCTTTAACCTCTAGGCCACCACGATCAAGACACACTAGCATCAGTTCAAAATCGAGATCTTAAAAATCCTTCAAAGGTCCAAAATATATAAGATCCAATTAAAATATAACCAGCTGTGATTAAAACCTTCGATACAACAAAAATAAGCCTTCACACGTTGTATCAACAAACCAATTACTAGAGTCAATTTAATATGATAGGAAATATTGGCCTCAGTGTTCCATAGTTTTAATATTTATTACGTGTTCACCAACAAATAAACATTCCATGTTAGATGTGACACTCGTATAACCACGTCATTAATTGCCGATATGACACGTCAAATGTGACACATTAAATGACATTGACGTGTTCAGAAATTATAATTAGAATGTATGGTAATAATGTATCGTTGTTACATAAAATTAATATATTATCTCTATATATGCACATAAAAATATATATTTACTTAAGTCTAATTATTTCGTTACCAATTTCTAGATATAACTTAAGTAGTAACAAAAATAATGCGTCTTATAAGGTCAATGTACTTTTTTCTCAAGCTATTGTTGGTCATTCGACTATAAATAATTCCATATTAACTTATTTTTCTTATTTGAATAATTTTTGTCGTTTTCTGTTATAATATGGTTTTGACATTATTAGTTTAATCTGATATTTATATTATTATTATAACTGTAAAATATGTGAAGTGATTTGAAGACTTACATAAAATTATAATATTATACATATAAGTAGATGCCATTTAGGCTTTACTTAAGCCAGAATTTTACCTACCTTAACGTAGGTATTATGTAAAGGTACACAAACAGTGCCGCGTTTTCTTTAGAACATCTCATCGACTACTAAGAAAGTAAAATATTAACGAATGGTTTTATGAGCCATTTGAGGATTATAAGTACTTTTTTTGTATAATAAATTGTAATGAATTGAAGATTTTTTTACAAAACAGTATCTGTAAACTCGTGATTACTTACAAATCGTACATCTCAAACTTTCCAGACAGTTTAGAAGTTTTAATTAAACTATATCGAAAATTATAGACGAAATCTAACACCAATACAATGCTTTATGTTTTGAAATACTAATAGTATTTCTTTTGTCTTATCTAGTTTCGCGGTGGTAGCAAGTGGTTGCGCTTCCTGTCCAAAACTGACGTGCCTGTCGCCGGGCTGTGGGGCCTCGTTCTGTTATCACTGTAAGGCGGCCTGGCACCCCACACAGACCTGCGACGCGGCGAGGAGGACCCGCCAGCAGCCGCCTCGTCAGCCCCAACCTTCGATAGACGAGCACGGTGAGGTTAAGCCTTGCCCGAGATGCGCTGTACTCATAGTGAAGGTGGAAGATGGATCTTGTAACCACATGGTGTGCTGCGTCTGTGGGGCCGAGTTCTGTTGGCTTTGTATGAAGGAGGTGTCCGACCTGCATTACTTGAGGTGAGGATCTACCTGTCTCTGATAGTCCAACTAAATTGACAAAAAGTATTATAATACTGATCTTAATCCTGATTGTCCACTAAATTGATACGTCTTTAACTATATTTAAAACGCTTTCGTGTCTTAGCAATGTTCTAATCTAATGAGATCTAAGATTTTCGCGAGAACTCATTGAAATGAAACTAATATTTTCGGATTATTCTTGGCGTTTTTATTTTTGACTATAAACTACATACTCTCGACGTTTCAGTTACTTTTTAGCAACCGTGATCACGGGCAGACGAGATGTAAAATCCGAAAATATTAGTTTCATTTAAATGTTCTAATCTATAATATTGATGGTATGAGTTGTGTTCCAGTCCAAGCGGTTGTACGTTCTGGGGTAAAAAGCCTTGGTCTAGGAAGAAGAAGCTGTTGTGGCAGCTTGGGACTCTGGCGGGTGCTCCGCTGGGTATAGCGGTGGTGGCGGGTGTGGCGCTCCCCGCACTACTGGTGGGCCTGCCGCTGTGGGCCGGCCGGAGGGCCCACAGGAGGCTTAGAAAGGCCCGGCCCGCGAGACGTAGGGCTGCGGTCGCCGCTGCTGTCGCCGCTGCGGTATGTACCACTAATCAGTAATATCCAGTATTTCTTTGTTTAAGTCTTCATTATACATCATACATCTTTGTGTAGACATTAGAAACTATTTTGTCCATTAGACAAAATTAGAGGACTTATGTAACTATCCTACAAATAGTTAGGTCATATAACTCTACATCTATATTCTATAGTAAATGTCATGATAGTTTTCTCTCACTATATAACTCCTGTCTTCAACAGCTGATCGTGTCTCCGCTGGTTGCGGGGCTGGCGGTCGGTATCGGAGTCCCCATCCTATTATTCTACGTGTACGGCGTGGTGCCGGTGTCGCTGTGCCGCGCGGGGGGCTGCGCTGGTGGGGGCGAAGCGCCCGACCGGCCCGAGCAAGCTATCGACTTGGACGCTACCTCTAGAAGACTCGAGCCCAGCATCGGTGAGTGTATATAATGATTTAGACTAAATAAACAATTATGTATTATGAAATGTATTTATAACATAGGCTAAAGCTAATATTATAGGAAGTTAATAATTATTATAAATCTTATAAAATATTTAATAACTTGATTGAAGTTAACTATGCTGTAACTATTCTCTTCTGTTATTTCTTTGTTATTAATCTTAGCTGCGGTTAAATCATTTTACTGTTTGTAAATTCACTCGTTTCTAAATAAATTCATTGTGATTCAAACAATCATGAAGCCGTCTCATGTTTATTTTTAGAAGATTAGATGTAGATAGACTAAATAGAGCCCCTTAAACCTACACCTGGGTCGCAAGTCCCAGTCACTGTTGAAGCTCCTCTCCCTACAACGATGGACCCGACACACTCACCGTGAAATATTGAATGATATGATGTTTTGTCTCTATATATTAAGTAGCATTTTTCTCAGCATCAAAATATTTAAAAGCGTTATACTTTTCTACCAGGATGATAGTACTCTGTTTCTTGTGCATACCATGCATGATGCATGCAACACTTCAAGATCCTCTGATAGTTGCGTGCATGTCCTGTTAGGAGACATTCAGTTTTATTTACATATAACTACCACTAAACGCTTGTTTTATTTTGACGCACGGTGAATACATTGAATGCTGTAAAGTTTCGTCTCCTTATAAGTGTATCGTGTATCGTTCCAGGTGACGCGTCCCTATCCGCGGGCTCGGCGCAGGCGGAGGTCCGCGCGGCGTCCCTGGCGGGGCTGGCGGGGTCGCTAGGGGGCGGGGAGGCTGCGTCCCCCGCCGCCGCCCGCCTCGAGGTCACCGTGGACGTGTTCAGAGCCTTCGCTTCAGACACCGCGAGCGCCGCCAGCTGGCCGGACGACCTGCCCTCCACGTCCATCAGCTCAGCGGCTCGTCTCCGCAGCCTGTTCCTGTACGGCGCGCCGCAGCCCCCCCCGGACCCTGAGGTGGGCGGGGCCGCGCCCTCCCCCCCGTCCCCCGCGCCCTCCCGCCTGTCCTCCTCCTGTGAGACTCGCCCACGCCCGGACTCACCGCCGACCTCCTAACACGGAACAGCTCGCGATGAACGCCTCTACTTCCTGATCGGTTCCGGTGACGTCACGTCCGGGCGCGTCTTAACTAGCTGTAAGCCCGGGCCCGGCCGCCCCTCGATAGATGCTTCGCGTTTCATATGCAGCGCTACTCTATCAGATATTTGTGATACTTCGATTAATGGATACTTGTAATGATCTAAATTATTTAATTTTTTCACGTTTGTAGGCGAAAGTTAAATGTAAGCGATGATATGTTATGTGAATTATAAATCGTAAACTATTATTAAAATGTGTTTAAACATTATAATTGTTTTATTTTTATGACGCGTTGTGATGCGACAGTATAATTGGATGTGACGACGATTATTCAAAAAGTTTTAACAACAAAGTTGTTCACTTTCTTAATTAGTACTCTACGATAAAAAATACAAGGGCCGTCCGACAAGTTATAAACTCCACCGCCTTATGGCGACACCATCGAAAGAGTAATTAACTAATCTAAAGGACATCTTCCTTAGACGCTTCTAATAAAATTACATCAGATTTTCGCAAATAGCTTTGTTTTCTTGCTTTCATATTACACGGTAAAATTCTGTACATTTTAAAAAGAGCAGTAACAGTCGGTGCTACAATTCTTTTTATTTTGAGGGAAATCGCGTGTATAAATCGAAAAGCGTTTGAATGCTATTCTTACTACGATTCTTATTCACTGGCGATCGTCAAAAATTTTTGTTTTATGAGTTTCCAGTTCCGTTTCTAATGAGCGACCTAAAATTGGCCCCAAACAGCTTATGTGTGAATAAAACATGATAAAATTGAAAATACCACGACATCCTATAAACGCACTAGTTGCCACATGTTTATTATTTGATAGAACGGTTCGTTACGATTATGTTACACCATAAAAAAATATTAAATTTTTTTGAAGCACCTATCCTAGTATATTTTAAATTTTAAAATTGATATCGAAATTCCAATTAATTGAGGATTCGACTCCTGATTGTTCAAGAAACATGTCGATAGCTCCCACATAAGTTGTATGCCACAAAAATGCTATTTTGCTTTTTTTTCTAAAAAATATCCTAGTATTGATCATTAAAATCCATTCAAATTAAAAAACAACAAAAACACTATTTTTAAAGGATTTGTCAGACGCATAATGTTGTAATTTTCAAACGCGAACGGGTTAAACTGATGTATATGCCTATGCAATTGTTTACGCGGTGCGCGAGGTGGGTAAAATCACGAGCACGCCGCGCATTGGTTACATACAACAGAGTAAGACTTATGTTTTTCAACGTATACATTTGTAACTATCATATACCACAAGTGACGCTATCTGGGCGCCGTGGTATAATGTAACGTGGTGTAACTTGTAAGTATCAGATACAAGAACTTTTATAGCTTCTACTACAGAGTAAAATGTTGTATGTATGAACAATATAACAACAATATCTCCGCAAATAGACATACATATTACTTAAAATATCTTTCAATGTAGTTAAGAAGAATTTAAATTTAAATACGAAATTTTAAAAAGATGCATCAATAAATGCAGATTGGGGTTTAATTTGAATCTTTGTAACGCTCTACTGTAAAATTACAGTTTTGGAGATAGAACAACTTACGTGGAGGTATCGATGTATTCATTGGTACCCACCAGAGACAACAGCAACCTAAACCGACGCATTTAATAAAAACTATTTGTCAAAAAAGAAATATACATTTTAAAGTGTATCATAATAATATTAGTCGAAAAAACAACGTGTCAATTATCATCAACAATTTACTTATTACGGCATAGTTTTAAAATCATTTCTTAAAAACTGAAAATCTCTGCTTCACAAGTAAGACATTTTGGTCATAAAGTCATGTATGTAGCCATCGTAATTGTACCAATTAGCATATAATATTTCAAAAATTGTCGTTGTTCAAGGACCGATTTACATGCGATGCCATTTAATATGTATCGTGAACATTTTTAATAAATTATAACCTTATTGTTAAAACATAGAGAAATGCGAGTATATTATCGTAATTGATATCTTTAGGTTCGGAAGAATAAATAACTTAAAAAAATACCAATAACAAACGAACAATTTAATAATTATTACAAATTTCTCAAGTAATAGGTTTTTAGTGTGATACTAATACACAATAATGATTGATATTTCAAAGAATCTAACTGATTATAAAATGACTCACGCTACCGAATTTAAAGAGATCTGACTGTTCCGACAGTTTATTTATTTATTAATTTATTTTATTGGATCACCAACAGAAACGACAATAGTACAAATACAAATATTATATAGTTAACAATTGATCACACTTGATAATTGTATTTCGTTTTATAGGTAATCACAGCATGCACTAAATATATTGTTTTCTTAGGGTCAATTATATAATTAAAAAGAATTTAAATTATTTAACAGTTTTATAACAATACCAATTGATTTGTGTTTTAATAAATATATTAGATGCAAAATAAATTAAATAAAAAGTAAGCATTTTTTAAATTAATTTTGAGTTAATAACAATAATTAATAATTTTAGTTTCAATAATTTACATAATTTTTTTAAGAAACTTAACAAATTTGATTTAAAAATAGGCAAATTATTACAAGTAATATCAAGGTTAGAGATCTTCGAGGAGAGATCATTATATGTGCGTGCTAGTCTAGCTGGTGGGGAAAATTTTCCTAAGTTAGATTTGTACAGCGATACACGAAATAAGGCGCTCGGTTTTCTAGGTAATCTTAAGGGAACATTGAAATTAAATACTTGCAATATAGCTGGACAATCAATATTGTTGTTCAATATTTTGTGTAGAAATAATTATAGATCCGACATTATTCTGCGCGACTGTAATGAAGTAATGTTGAATCGTTCAAGCCTTCCTTCATAAGAATTATCGGTTAGATTGCAGTTCGAGCGATACGCAAGATGACTCAATAGTTGTTTTTGTATCCTTTCGATTCTATCACTATGAATTTTGTAGTGAGGATTCCAAATTTGGCTGCAATATTCCAGTTGACTTCTTACTAGACTACTGTAAAGTTTGATGGTAGTAGAGGGCTGCCTCAACTCTTTTGAATTCCTCAATACAAAACCTAATGTTTTTGTTGCTGTGGTAATAATATTAAGTAAATCTTAAGTCGCTGTTCAGTACGCCTAAATCACGCATCACTCGAACTACCGTCAGTTTTTCTGTCTCGATGTAATATTGGCTCTGAACGTAATTTTGTTTTCTTGTAAATCTGATTGAAAAGGATTTCTTGGGACTCAGTGTCATCTGATTATGGTTACACCATTGTATCAACCTGTTCAGAACTTCCTGTAAAAGTGCGACGTCAAAATTGTTTGTATTTGTTTACAGTTCACGAGCAATAGAAGAATGAATAGGAGGGTTGCTTATAATACATACATCATCACAAATAATATATTTTCTTATCAATTTGTTAAAATGTGCAAGTTTTCCTCCCGCCAAATTCACATAACAGTTAAGCACTTGCACCAGAAGGGAGCAAAACTGGAATAAAAGGCTAAAAAGACAGGTGTTTTACTCAAGATGAATTCCAGATGTGAGATGTCAACATGGAAACAATAATATTGATATTTCTATTTAATACAAGATGCTAAACACATTTATTTCAAACAAATAAATTCCAAAGGAAGTAAAAAATATATATGAATATGATTCTAACAATTTTAAATTTTAGGCTAATGTCCAAAATAACACCCTAAAATTGAAAAAATAATCAAATGCAAATAAAAAGGCATAATTTATTATCCTTTTGATTTATTCAACATATCATTATAATATATAATTTACATTTTTTAACATTATACAAATACAGTTATTTGGGAATCAATACATAAATGCATTCTAGTATCTATTCACTGTTTGAATGTAAAAGATAAACAGAATTATATTTAAAACTAATGTAACATTAAAAATAATTCTATACAATTCCACGGTATTCAATTTATTTGTTTTAGAGAAGATTACTAGTCAGAATATTTCTTTTAACTCATTTTTCCTTAATTCAAATTAGTGAGCACAGCAAGCTATAGAGAATTATACAGGGTGACTGGTGAATTACTATCAATATTTAAGGAGCATACTCGGTACATGATTCTCATTCGAATTATCTAAAAAAAATAGGTACTTAATTTTTGACCAAATTTCCGTATAAATAAATAAAGTGTTGACACGTTCCAAGTGTTCCAAGTGTGGAGGCGTGCGGCGGCGTGCTGATACAACACCATGCCCCGCACGCGTATGTGTGAGTGTGTGTGTATACCTAATCTGTAGGGTGTTCATACGATGCGTAATTAATTAGATAACTTTTGGTTAACTTTACTTAGAAGTTTATTAATATTTATGTTATATTAATTTTTATTTTGTCATATATGATCGTCAAATATCACGTCCTCAAATATCGATAGTAATTCACCAGTCACCCTGTATATATTCAATAAATATCTGTTTGGCAATACTTTAAGTCTTAAACATATAATTGATTAGAATATTTGTCTACATTAGATTGTCCTTATATCTACATACTGATAAAAAAAATCTTCATTAACATTGAAACTATAGGTTTCAAGTTAGTGTACTCATACTAAGAACTCGACATTTATATTACATTCAGTAAAACAAGACCTGTTGATAACAATTTCAAAAACATTATTTACATCTTAACATAAATAACAATAATTCTTCTTCCATTACCTGGCAATTTCCCAGCTTTAGCCAGGGTCTGCCAATAATCCTGTTTATTAGTTATTAACAATAATATTTTTTTATGATTAATATAAAAATAAAGTAATAAATCTTTATATTATTCATTTTTAATGTATCATTGATAAGTTACAAGAGAATTAGATTAACAGAAACATTTATTTCAAGCAGGAATGCAATTTATTTGTCACTCAAAATTTAATTGATATTTGTTAATGTGAAAGACATATTTAGGTAAATATACATATATATATATATATATATATATATATATATATATATATATATATATATATATATATATATATATATATATATATATAAACATATGATCTAATAGAATAATGTATATTTATATGTAAAATACATTTAATATAGGTACCTATTTGATAAAACACAATTTCATACACATAAAAAAGTTATACCATTTCATTAAAATTATTTTTTTATGAATGGGAATATTATTTACAATCGTAAATTAATTCTTGACTAAAATTAAAAAAAAATACTATACAATACACATATCTCATTTTACATTAAATGCTCATACCATTTGTTATGGAGTAAAGGAATAAAAACGAAAGGCTGGAATGAGGTATGTAAATATGTCTTTTGGCGAAATGATTTGAAATAATAAATGTAGATCAAAACTATAAAAACCAAAAAAATATATGTTAAGAAATTTTAAATGTTCTAATTAAATATTTATAAAGATTTAATTGTTATTAGTTACTATTGCGTAATCGGTTAAGTTACCATTAAACTAGTGTTGTCTATCGATAGTCCACTACCGATAGGCTATCGATATTAAATAATCGAGATCCTATTGTTAGTATTACCACTTTTAATAGTATTGTTTAAGATGTGCCATCGATAGTATCGATAGTATTAACATGTGACCATAATATCGAAAGCACTATCGATATTCTGAATAGTTTTCGAGGTCAACTATCGATAGCCAAACTATCGATGGTTCTGCAACACTACATTAAACTAACTGACGTTGACATATGTCAAATACATATAATTATGTCAATATGATTACCGTTTAAAAAAATATTTCTCTTATACTGAATTATTGTTAAAACGTTACAATTTAATTCTGCCAAGCCAACATTAGATGAAAATACAGATGCAATTTAGTAAATAACATTTCATTCTCAATTTAACGAGACATTATATGTGATTTATATCTTAAATTTGCATTCAGCAAAACTAAACAAATTATACTCAGCTTTCTTTATGTCATTCCATTTTTGGCAGATGCTATTATATATCTTAATTACATATTAACAGAGTTGGAAATCGTATGTAGTTGATCCGTCTCTCCAAGTAGGTTCGTCAGCGACCTTCGCACGGCATAGAGGGCATGTGTGCTCTCGATCCAACCAGGCGGAGATGCAGAGCTCACAGAAGATGTGGCTGCAGGTCAGCCTGACTGGCGTGGTGTAGTCATCGTGGCAGATAGGGCAGGAATCACCAGCGGCTACCATCTGTTCGCAAGTTGGCTTGGTGCCCAGGCTCTGTAGAATGAGATATTGTACATAAAGTAACGTCATATAAATCTAACACAAAAATCTCAAGCGTTTATCAGACGTTATATAAATGATGTACTTCTGATACTTTTTCACTTAGTTCAAGACTAAAATATATTTATTTATAATTGATTCGAAAAACTTAAAAAAAATCCATTAATTATTAACAATTAAAAATTTATAAAATTTATGAAATAAACACGTGACTAAGAACGCTCCACGATAAGTCACCATGCTTATGACGTTACAATATTAAAAGAATTTGAAGATAGAACAGTGTCAACTTCTATCAGTGTATCAGCCGTATGCTACTATGAGGAGAAATTATTATTGTGACGTCACACGCGCTCGGGTTAGCTCGGGAACTATCGGCGTGTTTTCGGCACTGGGTTCAAAAATTTATTTTTATTTTGATATACATAACTTTTTAATTAATTAATTATACCGAAAAAAAAACAAAAATACTTTCCATTTATTACACAAAAATTTTTGTTCAAAACCCCAATTCCGTTCATCCGTAAAACAATGAAGATATGAATTGATAGTTAAATAATTCTGTACTCACGACGCTCTGCAGTAAAGTCCAAGTGGCGTTCTTGACTAGTCTCAGTCTGAGTAGTATCTCCACGACCTTGGAGATCACGTATAGCGCCGTGAGGAACATGCCCACCATCCGCTCCGAACCCTCGTAGGACTGCATCAGGTAGAAAATCCACGGCTGGATAGTTATTATGGAGCGGTACAACTGGGACACCACCTCCGTGAACAAATACACTTTACCCTGAAATATATATTCTTTATGATAAACACAAGTAATTAAATGGTTCGGTTTGAACTGAATATTTTCTTATGGTAGAACTTTCTTGGTATATAATCGCATTATATTTTGTACTGTAAGTTTTTTTTTTGTATGCATGTTGTCTTGTCTAGTAATAAATCTTGTTTTTAATTCAGCATTTTCATTAACATATATGTCATTTATTATTGGATACTAAATAGTTTTGATAGCCTCGTTTGAAAATCCCTACTAATATTATAAATGCGAAAGTAACTCTGTCTGTCTGTTACGCTTTCACGTCTAAACCACTGAACTGATCTTAATGAAATTTGGTACAGACATAGAGTTGACCTTGAGACAGAACATGTGATAGTTTATTCCCAGACTTTTGAAAGGTTCTCTTGGAAACGCGATATCACCGAACTCCACGCGGGCGAAGCTGCGGGCGGAAAGCTAGTTCTATATAAACTTATGTATAAACTTTATCTTTCATATTCTTTAACGTTGTAAGATGTGATATTTCTATCTTTGGAGTTCTTAGACTTCTAGATCCTAGACTTTTTATAGAGTGGTTTATAGTACTCTTGTTTGTTAGCAAATATCATTTGGATGTTTGAATTTCATTCCATTAAGTATAGCTCAGTTCTGTAGAAAAAATGTAGATATGACTTGTGTTTGAGGAGAAGAAATTCCTTTCTTCACCGTTCTTTTCAATTGCTCATGAAATTTTTGCATTTCTTTGTACCTTTTCAAAATTTTTATAGTCCCAAACGTAAGGATTATAATCTTCTGGAGTCAGTAACAGAAATACATAAGGAAAAGTAGTCAATAGAGGAGATTGTTCAACATGTATAACGACAGATAAAAATGAATGAAAAGAATTCCACAATTAATTATTAATATAAGCATTAAGCAGCCATAGCGCATTATTTGCGAGTATGAGGCTTATAGCCTCGGCACATTACTCTAGCGATATTACATTTTTTTAAAATTGCTACTATTACTATTTATATAAATTTACAATAAATATTATTTTTGGCACGTCTGTTCTTTATGTTTTTTAATACCATTGTTTTTTATTTCCCCAAAAACCTTATACGAAGCTCTTCAAAAAGCTTAAGTACAAGAATAATGCGAAGAACTAAGAATGTTTAAAAATAATTAGAGTAATTAAGGCAAGGTAATCCTTTCAAACGGGAAAAATTTTCAGACGAATCTTAATGTTGTGCTTAATAAAATAAAGCTATCAGTCGAAACCTAGTCAGATGATTAATTTATAGAGACAAAACATGTTCCCGCCTAATCCCGATTAACTTTCTCGCCTAACTAGTAAATCTTTATAACTTTCAAAGCGTTAGCTGACCGATACTTTTCCGCGATATAGCTAATTGACCTAAATATTTATCCACAGTTACATATAAATGCATAATATATGCAGAGTATAGTAAAAATTCACTATACATAAGATTCGTAGCTCAATTAGTTATTCCTGTATGGTTCACAAAAAAAATTAATATAGCTTCTCATTTTGACATAAACCAGTGACGTACCAGTATCGCTGGATGTTAACAAGAATGACTTGTATTCATATCCAAGAATATAAATTTTAAGTGACCCGATACATCACTATTTAAAACAAAAACCGAACTATTATCTTCACTTTGGTTTCAAGATACCATACCAGTCCCTTGATGGCCATTTACTTAATCACTAGCGACACAAATTTTTCATTCTTGTTTCACTAAAGCAAGTTTGATTCTTTAACTTATTTTAAATTTTTTCTACTACAAGAAATGAAATTTTCAAGAAATCTCAATATTTTTATAGAATAATATAGTCATATATTATATTCAAAGTACTTTTAAACCTTCAGTGAGTGTTCGCTAGATTTTTCACCACTGGCACGTCTATTGTTGTAGAAAACTTTAACAAAGCAAGTGCTTACATAGAATTGAAAAATGTATTACGTGACATCAAGCCGAAAAGGATTCCAAAGTTTTATACATAAGAACTTTTTTCTTATCTATGTCATTACTTAAATTATAAATAAATTAAAAAAAATAACAATAAACTTACCCTCTTCTGGAACGGTAATATAAAAGCTGGCAACATTGTGATCAGAATCTTTATATTGACCGTTATAATCTTCACAATGAGATCCGTTAATATAACAAGCCATAGCAGTTCCCAAACTGTGATGGGCTCCGTGTAAACAGGAAACATCACCACATTCTCCAATAGCTTCCCATGACCACATAGGAAATGGACGATTAATATAGAACTCGTAGCAAATACAAATTCACTAAATAATGCTAGTAAGCTCCTATTCATCTGTTTCCCATTTTCTCTGAAACAATTTAATATATAATATTAATAAAGTTGCAGTTCTATATCACATACTAACAATAATTCAATTCATTACGGGACAAACAAATATAATATAGCAAAATCCCTTATAAATAATCTATGTACTATAACTATGTGTAAAAATAGGTATATATGTGTTTTTGCTCGATTTCATTTGTCAGTTGTCACTAGTATGTAAACCTACCTCTTAACCAAGCCGTTTCCGTGTGAGAATGTGCATAGTAATACAACAAATGTGAATATACCCTCTCGACTGTCATACATGTATTTAATGTATAGAATTATATAGAACGGAGCATAACGCAACAACAGGTTCAAAGTGGCTCTAACATCAACTACCTGCAAATAATAATAATAATATATATATAGATATGTGTATATATTCTGTTAGACAAGTTTTTTATATATAAAATGTTATCAATATAAGGTCCAAAGTTCACAAATGTATGAGAATATATACATGTATAGTGTTTTATAAAATTATATTTAATAATTAGATATCTCTGTAAACATCAGTCGCTAGAAAATTCTCTTAACATATAATGTAATAAAAAATATATTAATTACAAACCATATTTGTTTTGAATAGCTTAATTAGTTTAATGCATAGTACAAGTGTAAATAGTTCGAACCTGCTGGGTTCCATCTTCACTCTGACTATCGTTATCAGCATTGTCATTAATATTATTATTGTTTGAGGGATTCACCGATACATTTATGTCTACCTGATCCTGTGCTCTTTCTGATAGATTCGAATCATTTGAAGCACTGTTGCTCATCCCGTGATCCTGTCTCGGTGACACCTGAACTCCTCTGTCCGTTACTATGTATGTTTGAGCTGTAGGTCCAAGATTCACATGGGCTATAGAACTCTGCGGTCTTTGCGTCACCTCCCCGGCTGTTTGGATGCCCAGCGAATTTCTTGGTAACCATGTCGGTAGTGATAGTCTTGAATTGTTGCCCTAAACAATATGTGTTATGTATCCTCATTGAAATTAAAATTATTAAATATAGGACCATTAATACTTGGTTACAAAAATTACAGCAAATATTGTTGATAAATCAGACTGATTGTTGATATTTGACTCTGCCCTGTCAAGGCCTTTCTACCATATCCACTTAAGGTTTATCAAATTATGATTCATAGCTTCTATTAAACAAACATTTAAAAACACATTTCAGATGTATTATAAACGTGAACTGCTAGAAATTTTATAGTTTTTATGTTAAACCGATATAATAAAAATAAAAACAATTTGATTTCATCATTATTGCCTAAATTCTTTGTTGCGTCACACTACGAAAACAAACTTACCATTCTTGCATGTTCTACTAGCGGTCTTATTTCCCTGAAAACACTATTAAGTCTGTCTCCGAGGCCTAAATTACTTCTATTTGCGACCATAGGTCTTGATATTGGGTCCGTTCTATGGAGTGCATTATTAAGATTGCTATTTTCCACTGAATCAGGGTTCTCATCCTCTATATTAAGAGTTACTTGACTCGGCTGAGCCATTGTACAACCAAAACTCGTAATACTTATAATTCTATAACTCCCATTTCAATATAAATAAAAAAAATATATCGAAGGTCAATACTCAATTATGAAATTTGACATTAACATCTGTATGACAGATTTTGACATTTAAACAACTGATTTCAGTGTTTTTTTGGGATTTGCAACCCTAACATGATTTAAATCTATACAAACTATACAGTATATTTTATATAGGTATGTACCTATACTTTAATTTTAAAAATGTTAGTGATTTTTATGTAAATCTTTCATTTATATTTCATATTTTATTAATTATAAAATAATATGTGCATTATATATGAATCAGTTAAAGTGTATCTTTTTAATGTTTGAAATACTTTCAATGTAGCACAGTAAAATAATTTAATTTATAATAAATAATTAAAGATAAAGATTATTTAGGACATATTTTGTTATAATAAAACAGCATGTTGATACCAATAATAATTCAATTTATTTTGATCAAATAATAGTCAATAGACCGAAATGGATGTCGTATTCGATTAATACAATGAGCAAAAGTATACTTACAATAATATTTACCACTCTGTCATAGATCTTAGACATGTTTTAATTAAGTAAATTCAGTCTTTGATTAAGCATCGCTCCACATCTCGACGTGGTCGCGAGCATATCATGCGAAATCACTGATGTCACAACATAACTTATACAAATAATTGGCAATCTCGAATACATCAACGTTATTTGTGCTTTAATTAAAATGATAAACTACGCTTCTGTTTTGGACTTAATAAACGATTAATTTCAAATAATTATTAAGATCATTACGGTTGGCACTTATTTTCATTTTCACGCGTCCGTGTCGGCTTTTAGAGCAAGGATTCCTTGTGCGTGTAGATCGCGAACAGCTTCGAGTAACCGTCTTTCAGCTCGAGGTTCCCCCAAAGCTACATCAACGCTGCCAGCACATAATAGCAGAGCACGCAGTGCCGCCCTGGGCCAGTCGGGTTTTAATCCTTTTCTAACAACAGCACCAGCTGAAGTGACTCCCAATCTAGCACACTCCGCTTCTAATCTGTTGCCATAATCCTCTATCAAAGTATCTCCATAGGCTCTCCTCATTTCTGGCGTCAGGGACGATAGAAGTAGAAGTGCGACGTCATCCATAGGCCTCCCGAGAGATACCATTTGCCAGTCCAGAGCAATACATTCGCTTTCACCATTAATCTCTCTAAATAACAGGTTGCCACTCCAAAAATCAGCGTGGGCTAACGGCGCTGGTTCAGCTGGTCGCAGTAATGTTTCCAATAGAGATGGTGCTCGCGCGCTCAGAGCTGACACCGCAGCTGCTTCTTCGATACAATCGGTCCGTCCTCTTAGGAACGCTTCAAGTTGGGGCAGACCTCGTCTTACTAGTCTTAAGTAGCCGGCAGCAGCTCTCTCACACGGGAAGAGGAAGTCGAATCTTTGATCCAGTGGTCCTTCCCTGTCTCGTAGGGCAAGTGATAATGCGTGGAGTCGTGCGGCGGCGTTAAGAGCCGAGCGAGCTCGTTCAACCGTCAAACCCTCGGCGAAATCCGCTGATTCGAAGCCAATAGCTGTCACATCTTCCAAAACCAGTTCGCTGTCTCCGCCGATTTCATCTGATATTAATAATAATTTATTCAATATTAACAATGATAGAATTAATGATTTCGAAAACAACAGTTAGGTACGTTGTCAACAATTTGATATTTCGAAAATACGATATTCTTATTAGAAATATGTGATGTAGTCAGCTTTAATACGTCATAATTCGTAGAAGCAAGTACGTGAGACGTTAATTCTTAATAATTCGTTAGTCTATTATTAGTATCATAGTGTTGACTCATGGAATTACGTATTTAAGAAGACGAGAACATAAAAGTCGTTTAAGATTAACATTAATTACATATTTGGTGTTATTTGATAAATTTCTGTTTTAATTTGCTAAATCGTTGTTCAGATTGAAGTATTGCAAAACATTTTATGTATATCTATATATAATAAATACAAATATAGAAATCTTTATACCTGGCAATCTAGCTTTTATACATTTAGGTACAGGCAGGCCTTGTCCTGGCCCAAGGGCGTCTTCTGCCAATTTATTAAGTGCTGGTGCCAGTTCAGTATAAAACAGAATCTCCCGTGTGTCGAACTGAGCTTCTGCCACGAAAAGTCTGCCGAACGGATCTCTTGGTGGCAGCTTCACAACAAGCGGTAGACACTGACTTTCACCGTCGCTGTCGTATCGGACAGTCACTGCTAGGACCCGACTTAGAGCCCCGGCGACTCCGGCCTGGGATTCAACCCGGATCTATAAAATATGCAGTTTCTAACATTAATATGTTAACAATAGTCATCGTACTACGTACGTACTGTACTTCGTTACATTTTGTTTACGACTACCAATTATCTAAGTAGAGATAATTTTATCCAATTATCTAAGTAGAGAGCAAAGAAAATAGATATTTCAATGTAGCTACAAGTTATTTCAGTTACTTGTATATGAGGAATTATTTTTGATAAAATTTGTAATTGTAAAAATAAAATGATTGATTATACCAAAGGTACCCATTATTTGGTGTATTTTTTATTTAGAACCTACCTCGTGAGGGTTGGCCACGCCCGATGCTAGCAGCAATTCTCTCGCCCATTCCTCAGTTAGGGCTGCGTCGGCATCACACTCGGGCACCTGGTCGCAGTCCGAATCTTCGCTGCCACTGCTGGGGGCTTCAGAGACCGCAGTGCTATCCGGCCCCCCCGCTTGCATTTTAAATAAAACACACACTCCCTTCTTTAATATTTATAACGCGTGCATATTAACTCGTTAAAAGATTATCGTAAATATATTTTTAAGCGCGATGTTTTCTATCACTGGTATATGGTGTAAGGCTGGGTGGAAATGTAATATGTGGGACTGTATTTTGCGCATGCGCCTTGTCCCCGTCAATTATTCATCGGGAGTCCCGTGCTACTGCCTTGTCATTCGGCGCAAGCCCTCTCAAAAGCGAAATTGGGAACACTTTACATTGATGTATATACTTATGCTATCCACCTATATCTCGACCTATTCATTTACCGCTTTCGATTTTACATGTTGTCTATTCAGATGACATAGTCTACTGCATGCGCCGTATCTTGTAGACTTGTCGAATTTGATGAGACAAAATTAATGATCGAAATATAAGTACGATAAAATTACACCATTAACAATTTAATATCGTTTTTTATATTAAATTATTACAATCATTCTAAGTATATAAAAGCAAACAGAACTTAATTATTCTATGATGTTGTTTAGAACGAAATTAAGTTTTCTTTTTCATGAACGAAATAGTTTTAATTAACGTTTGACATATATTATGAAATTTTATTAAGTTATTGGTATCAAACGTTATCATCAAAATTTTATTTCTCTTATAACAATTAAGTATTAATTCATCTAATTCGTGTTATCCAATCCGTTTTTTAACCCTGCTGCTACTTTAAACGGGATTTATTATATGATTTTGCATATTGACTAGGAAAAGCAAACTGGTATTAACAAAATATTTCTTTTTTTTTCTAATATGAAACCTATAAACCATTTCCATTAGTATATAAATACATAAAAAATTATTATTAGGTATATGTATGTGCAAAGATGGGAATAAATAGACATTTTCTTTATACTTCTTTTGATTTAGTTATTAAACATTTTAAAAAACTATTATTGTATACTTATATGTATGGGGATGAAAATATTGTAATTTTAATAAGGAGTAACAATTCGCATTTTTTAAAATTAACATTTTAATATCATTAGCGAAGACTTTACTTCCTTTTCTAACTTCACAGTTCACAGCCCATTTATGACATTTGAAGTATTGTTTTGACACCATTGATTATAATTTTGTCGTCTTTTTAAAATAAATTAAAGAGGTCAAAGATAATGGGTCTTAAGTTGAAAATAGCTTAAAAGTTATTCTTAATAATGGGTAAAGAAAAAGCTAAAAAACGTCGACGCTCGACATCTGAAAGCTCAAGCTCAAGTAGTTCCTCAGATTCCAGCCGGGAAAAGAAAAAATTACGGAAATTAAAAAAGAAATTGAAAAAAGAGCAGAAAAAAACGGAGAAACTGTTAAAGAAAAAGCTCAAAGAGGAAAAGAGGAAACTGAAGCGCAAGCAGTCAGAAGAAAGAAGTCAAAATCAGGAGAAAACCAAAGATGAAGCATCATCAGACATCCCCCTAGGTAGTTTTATATGTCTAATTTGATATACCAACAGTTCTGTATAATAATGTATGTATTCCCGTAATATGTATGAATTACTGATCATATATTTTGTCAGAGTTAATGGAGAAGTCCAAAGCAATGGCACCAATGACCAAGGAAGAGTGGGAGAAACGACAGAGTGTCATACGGAGGGTACAAGACGAGGAAACTGGAAGATACAGGTTATCCTATCATTCTGATATAAAAACGAATATTTTACTAGAGGTCAAGTGCTATTAAGTATACTGCAACACAAAGGTTTTGCTAAAAAGGCTTTTAAATATGTACAAACTTGTGAAATATTTTTTATCTTATTAGCTAATGACCGGGCTCTGATAGTGTATAATACAACTTTCCTCTTTCTCTATTGTAAATATATGAATGTTTAATTAAAATAATAATGTTTAAAAACTTACTTTTTATTATTGTTAAAATCACAGCTCTAAATATACTTTTAGATCCAATTACTGTGCCTCAGTTGGATATTGTTTTCAGGTTAATAAAAGGTGACGGGGAAGTAATAGAAGAGATAGTTTCAAGAGACCGACACAAAGAAATCAATCGTCAAGCTACAATGGCTGATGGCAATTTTTTTCAGTCACAAACTGGTCAAAAGATAGATATGAAGTAGAATTTTCATCTTATTTCATGACTGTTATTTATTTTTTGTAAATATATTTTGATTTAAACAGGTGAGTCGAAATTGAATAGATTATTTCTTTAGCAGCACTTTAATTAGGAATTATTGTGTGAAAGAATATTGTCATAAATGTGAAAATCCTTATCCTATTGTCACTCAGTTCGTAGGAACTATGATACAATAAAAACATAATGAAATATGGGTTCATTTTATTTGGATAACCATTTTTTTAAAGATCTATTCTTTCTATAGATACATAAATGAGTGATGGGTCATTTTATAATTTATACCATACACTGTCTTAATCCTTAAAGGTTCTTATTATAGTAATACTACATTATTCATAATAATTTGATATTTATTCAATAAATAGAAGTAAAATTAAAAACAGATGTATTCCACTAATGTTTGACAATGTTTCGAAATAGTTGTAGTAATTCTACACACAACAGATTATCTTCAAGAAATTTTGCCTATAATGGCATTTGAAATACTTCCTTTCTTTTCCTTTCTTGTTATCTTAATCTTTTCTCCTTTAATATTTTCCTTTGGCTCATCAGTTTGACTATTGCAGTCTTCATATCTTGGAATACATAGTGACTAGTTCATTACAACTTAATATATTCACATACTTTCTTATTTAGAATAAAATCCACATTTCACACTTATGTGAATTATCTTGGCATATATAGTTTCTCATTCAAACCTTGTCAAGCTACAGCTTAATACATAATATCTATATATATACATAATATGTACTCATGAAAGATATATGTCGGTAAACTAAACCTTTTATGTCTTAGTAAATTAACAAATATTTGTCAAAATTTGTTTATACATGATTCAGTTGCACCTATGTACGATATATGATTTTCACCATATATTAAATATTTGAACCTTAGTTATTTTTATTCAACATAATTCTGCCTGTCTGATTCAATTGTAGTAAGAGATATAAATTCTATAATGACTAAGCAATACATAAAAGAATTCTATTTTGAAATTTTGTTATGTATTTAACAATGACATGATTAAGACATATTTAAGTACATATAAATGGAAGGTTTAAATGTTTTGAATACTTATAATGCTAAGACTTATAGCTCGTCTTTATTTGGCAAAGGTTTTTCAGTGATCTCATAATTTTCATTTTCTTCTTTTTTATTTCCCACATTTTCATTGTCATCAATTTTATTTACCACATTTTCATTGTCATCATTTTTATTTACCACATTTTCATTGTCATCAATTTTATTTACCACATTTTCATTGTCATCGTTTTTATTTATCACATTTTCATTGTCATCAATTTTATTTACCACATTTTCATTTTCCTCTTTTTTATTTCCCACATTTTCATTGTCATCAATTTTATTTACCACATTTTCATTGTCATCATTTTTAGTTACCACATTTTCATTTTCCTCTTTTTTATTTCCCACATTTTCATTATCATCAATTTTATTTACCACATTTTCATTGTCCTCTTTTTTAATTCCCACATTTTCATTGTCCTCATTTTTATTTCCCTCACTTTCATTTCCCACATTTTCCTCATTTTTATTTCCTACTTTTTCATTTTCCTCTATCACATTTTCATTTTCCTCCTTTTTAATTCCGTCATTTTCTTTTTCCTCATTTTTATTTCCCTGATTTTCATCTTCCTCTATCGTCTTGTTGTCGTGCAGGTGTTCATTGACCAGAGTGATCAGACTTTCCAGTGGTTTGCCGCCGTGTTCTACATTCACTATGTTCTTATTCTTGTATAGAATCAGTGTTGGCAAGCCATTTATCTAAAACAAATTATATCAGTAAGACAAAAACTTATTTAAATTCAAATAAAGAAGTTATTCATTACTTAAATTTTCGAACTTAAATGTGCTTAATTTATATATGAATAAATTTATTAATATATAAGTGTGTGTGTGTGTGTGCTTAATGCTCAAACCTTCTTCATGTGAGAAGAGGCTTTTGTACACCAGTGGGCTCTGATAGGCTGATGATGTGTGTATGTGTGTGTGTATTCTATATTTTCTTTAACATAGTAGTCCAAGAGCCAGGGCCAGCCAGGCATTCGTTAATTTACAAAAGCTGAAAGTTTTTCTATAGATGTACCCAATATAGGTAGTCACGATCCCTACCTATGAAATTTGGGTCGCGGTGGCTTTGGCAGGTAACACGTTCTAAAGGTGTATAAAATTTTCTTTCACTTTCCTCTTAGTACAAAATTCAGTTTTGATATATTTTCATCGTAATAATATTAGAAATCACGCTGTAAATTGCCCGGCACTTAGTAAGGTGGGAAACCCAGCCAGGCACCCCTAAATTATAAGTAATTTTATTTGTACTTTCGTTATAGTACATATATAAGCTGATTTTTATGTATGTTACTGAGGAAAGTATTACATTATGTTTATTCAGTAGCCAGGCAGTTTCGATGGTGCTTTCACCTGGCCCTGTCACACTGAAAGTCTTCCGTAAGTGCGAGAGGAAGGAACATATCCTCGATGAAGTTACGAATAGATATGTTCATGTTTACATTTTATAGATATTTAGTTACTTAGAAGACAAACTTAGTTACTTGGGACAAATTTTTATCTTTAAATGCTTTTTCAAAAGTAAACGTACAGACGGTAGGCTCTTCGGTTTCTAAACAATACTTTTTTATGTGTTAAAGAGGAAAGTGAAAGAAAATTTTATACACCTTTAGAACGTGTTACCTGCCAAAGCCACCGCGACCCAAATTTCATAGGTGGGGATCGTGACTACCTATATTGGGTACATCTATAGAAAAACTTTCAGCTTTTGTAAATTAACGAATGCCTGGCTGGCCCTGGCTCTTGCTCTATAGAGGTTTCAGTAAAATATATGACTTCTTTTAATAACATCTATCATACATCATTATAGTCATTTTGTGTTTAAAACATATATTTGAATAACACAAACAATAATATTCTTTAATAATCACCTTCTCAACTTCACAGATAGTTTTAGAGCGAGCACAGTCTATATCAGCTATTATAACTCGGCTTTCATTTTGAAACCGTTCACCAAGCTTCAACCACAGTGGGCTCAATTGCATGCAATGGGCACACCTAAAAAAATCTTAATTCAATCACCATATTAAAAAAGTATTGCTATAATATAAGACAAAATAATACCATGGAGCAAAATAGTTAACATAAACCAGTTCGTTCTCCAAAAAGGTTTCAAATGTTTCCTCCGATATCCTGGCCACTGGTAAAGCTTTTTTTTTCTTGACAAATTTTTCTGGATCATGGTTTTCCGTCAGCAACATCTTTTCGACATACTCTTGGAGTTCCGGCAATGTTTTCATATCAGTTTGTCCCATCTAGAACCATTATTATTTATTAAACATCAATTTACATTATTATATAATCTTAATACAAGTTAAAACTAATATTTACGTACAATCCTTCCATTAACAATCCACAGTAGAAGCGGATACTGTTTGATATCAAAGTTCTGACAGGTTATTTCATTATGGTAACAATTAATCCTTCCGATCTGTAGGTATTCATTACTCTCATATAGCTTCGCCATCTCTGCCCAGACGATTGCTAATTTCTTAAATTATAAATACAAAGGTTACTATTGTATCTCATTATCTATTTATCCATACAAAATATAATAAAGTTACCTGGGATGCAGTACACCACGGAACATAGAATAACACAAAGTGCTGTCCTTTCGACACAAATTTCTCTATATTGTAGTCATCCAAAAATGCCATACCACCAAATATCTCCACATTAGGCAATATCCTTTCTTTTGGCTTATGAAAAAATATCACAGAATTAACATACAATATATTTAAATCAATTGAAATTGTCTCTTATTAATCTTACCTTTGGTTTTTTATTTTTAGTATACACCGCACTTAAGAAAAGTGTAAGAGAAGGCAGGTCTCTTGTGCTTTTGTATTCTACGGGAGTAAATGAATTCTTATGGTAATACAACAAAGTAGGATATCCTGGAAAAATAGAGGATAGTGTTAAAAAAAGCAAAGACCTGATATAAAGTCTGCTATGGACCCGTTTCACACTGAGTACCTGTAATATCATTTTCATGGCATAGTTTTGAATGTTTCATGCAATCTACTTGAGCAATTGCTATATCATACTGCCTGGAGTTTATAAGATTTCCCAATTCTGACCAAATTGGGTGAAATTCTGTGCAATGCCGACACCTATAAAAAATATTCCAATTTAGAAGATTTTTTTTTAATAATTACGATAAATAATGCTCAAAAGGGATGTGCAAACCATGGCGTATAGAACATTATAAAGTTTCCATCCTTGTTTACGATTTGTTTATAAAATTCATCTGGATCGTATTCAAATACAGTTTTATCATCAGGAGTCACATATTGAGGGAATAACAGACAAAAGGTAAACATAAACTTGAATATATTCATGGCGATGGAATTGTAAGAATGTCTGTCTTTTATTAAATATATATAATTTTAGTAACTTTCAGTCTTAACACAGAATATTATACAAATTACAGCAGTAAAGGTACATAGCAAATATGAAATATATATGCAACTTGATCGATGACGTTAATGATTTTTTACGTTATAATGACAAGGAAGACTGCAATTTAGCTCAAAAACGTTCCGGTCTTTTGATTTTGATATATAACGATTTTTATAAATATCTTATTATTTATTAAACACACGCAAGAATGTTATATAATATAGATATTTTTAAAAAGTGAGAAGGCAACATATTTTTATTTTTACTATACTTATAGCGCATACAAAGGGAATATCACTATTTGCCCTAAGTTTTTTAAAAAAATTATATACTTTATGTCAAATTTATGCGGTATACATAGGTATAATAGTATCATATTATGTTTTTACAATCATAAGAAAAATGTAAATGATAGGGATGCTCATGTTTTGCTTTTATTTATTTTTTAATTAATTTTTATTTTTTAATCGCATCGTTATAGCATAATTATTTAATGTACTACAGTGATAAAAAATAGTTTTATTATTTATTCTTACTTTAACGAAAACAGTTGTCCATTTATACAAAGTCGAATCGTAAATGTCACTTTGGCGTAGCTTTTAGTTTTTAGGGACACACTATGGAATGTGGTAATTCTTCAAAATGGTCGCTTTGTATGGTTTGCCAACTTGCATGTCTGTGTATTAGAGTTCTTTGTTTTCATTATTTATTAATTATAATCGAATAGCAAGGCCAAAACACATTGTTATCATTATTGTTTCCTACATACGTGAATATTAGTGCTATAATCTATATTTGTGGTGATCAAGAAAGATGTCATCGGTAATGTGAGAGCATTCTACTAGCATTTTTATTTCACGGGATTATGACGTTTAAGAATCTCATTTGGATTTGCAAGGATTAAAAAAAAATCAGGTAATAATATAAGTCAGTTCAACCTTATGGGTCCTTATAAATATATGCTAAAAAAGCTAACTCTAATTTTGGCATTCCTTAAACTCTTGTCAGATTGGATCGTGTCGAGTGTTAAAGAATTACATTTAACTGCAATCAAAAGGCTTAGTAAAAAATAAATAAATTTCTTCTTAATATTAATATCAAAATCCGTTTGTTTCTAATAAAGTTAAATGTTAATAATCAAAATATTTACATCTATCTTAGTTTGTTATTCGAAAAACAATAATACCTTCCAAGTATTTTATTGCATAAAAGTAGGAATATTCTCATAGCAATCTCTTAAAACCAATGTTTTTGTTTCAGTATGTTCAGTTGATACAATGTCAATTAAAGTGGAACATTAGTCGGGGACCGAATATATCTGAAGGACTATAACTAAAACAGTGTGATACAGTATTAGAGATGCGAAGTGTGAGTTTGTGTGGGACCGTGATGGCCATGTGATGGGCGGCGTGGGGTGAGAGGTGAGGCGCACGGGCGCGGGCGTCATGAACCCGCCGGCGCCCGGCAAGACGGCCGCGCGCTCATCGGGATACAACCAGAAAGCGCTCGCCGAAATAAGAAACTCATTGCTCCCGTTTGCTAACATCGGGAGCTCGGAGCCTCCGGGCTCATCCGCTGCCAGTACTGTTAGTTCGGGAGTCAGTTCTGGCTTTAGTTCCACCTCGGGAAATGGGCTGGATAAGGACTTGAGTGTACTACCTCAGTCGTTAAATCAGCTAATAGCTCTGGGTTATGATGAAGTAAGTCCCTCTAAGTTATCTTTTAATTTGAATGTAAACAAAATATGTGAAGAATTTGAATTAAAATATATAATAGGATATAATTAGTGCATTCCATGAGTATAGTGATAAATCAACAGCTTGCCAATAATTCTTGATTCAGTCGAATAAAATTATCATATGCATGTGTTTAACGTTAGTAAAGAATCTTGCATATATGAATTTGTTAAAGGATAATGCTACTTATTTTATTGAAAATGTCGTTTTATATTGACATGAGACCTCTTGAAATATCAGCAATATTTTATTTACTATTAAGTGACCTCTTAGTGATGAAATAAGCAAGCAACTATATAGAGATAAGTTGCTGGCAAATTAATTGACAATATGTTTTAGATGCAATAATTGTCAATCAAAATATATTTTGTAATGATTCCATATAAGAAAACTTATGTACTGTGTGTATGATTGCGAATAGCTTAGCAATTCTGTGATTCTATACGATATTATGTGACCTTTCTTCTTAAATTTAATCCTAGAGAAGTAACTTTTAACTTGAACATGATTTTCATATAACCAGGATATCCCAGCTATAAATCATTGATTGTAAAGTCACATAATTTTATACAAAGGTATGGGACAAGAAACAAAATTTATTTGTTGATATAATAATTTTGTTTCAAATAAATATACAAATGTTTATATAATTACACCACAGTTATATTTAAACATGTAATAAGTGATTTGTAGTTAACATTTAATTTTCATTTTCTATTTCAGGATCCAGCAGTTAAGGCGCTCAAATACGCCGGCGGTCGTTTCGACGCGGCACTCGATTATCTGTCGAAGAAGCAGGAGCCGCTCAACGGCGTCCTCAAGTCGAGTAACCTGAGCGCGCTCAGCACCAAATTGATAAGAAAACCGAGTTTAGAGCGAGAGATAAACCTCCACCGAGGCAGTCCGGCGCTCGACTCCGGAGCGGGGAGTTCGAGGTCTGACAGTCCGAGGCAGTCGGACGCGCCGCCCCTGCCCCATGAGAAGCTCAGTCGGCAGTACTCGCCGTCAGGGTTCTCGGAGCCCCCGCCGCCGCCTCCGCCGCGATGTCCCTCCACGCCGCCCGTGCCGCCCTCGGTGCAGCAGTACATGAAGAGGATCTCCCCCGCCCCGCCGCTACCACCGGCTCGGGGCACGAGTCCCGTAGCGGCCGGGGCGCCGACGCCGCCCGCGCGGACGCCCATGATCGTCCAGAACGGGCCGCAGGTGCAGCAGCAGCTAACTCAGCAGATCCAGGCGCTGAGCATCTACCAGACGGGGCCGACGGGCGCGGAGCTGCCTCCGCCGTACCCTCTGTCGAGCGTCCCTCCACCACCCTCGTACTCCGTGTCCATGCAGAACCGCCAGAGTCCCACCCAGTCCCAGGACTACAGGAAGAGTCCGTCGTCGGGGATCTACTCGGTGGGGACGTCGGCGGGGTCCCCGAGCCCCATCACGGTGACCCAGTCGTCCGGATCTTCGTCGGGGATGACGCGGCCGACTCCCATCCAGGCGTGGACGGCGCGGCAGGCGGTCCAGCCGCCTATCATAATGCAGTCGGTGAAGAGCACGCAGGTCCAGAAGCCGGTGCTGCAGACGGCCATCGCTCCGGTGGCTCCCCCGCCGGTGGCCGCGGGTCAACCGCCGCCACCGTCCTACGCCAGCTCGATCCAACAGAAGCAGTCCCAGTCGAAGCCCGGGTACCCCCTCGCGCCGAAGCCGTCGCCCCCGGGCTCCACGCCGCCGGCCACGACCCCCGTCCCTACCACTGAGCCCCCCAGCTACGCCATCACGATGCAGGCGCTGGCCGTTCAACGAGGCATGCACCCCATCCCTCCGCCGCCCTACGGCAACCAGGCCGAGACGACCACCACCGTCAACTCTCACCATTCTCCGTTACATAAAAAGTTTTCTAATAACTGTGATGTTAAGGGTGAATCTTCTCATATGGAACTGAAGTGTTCGAATCAAAACTGTAGTATGATGAAAGATAGTGTTCCGTCCGGTTCAGATAAGAGTTCCAACGGGTCGACGGAGAGGCGGTCGAAGGGCGCGCCCGACAAGATCAGGCATCAGTCGCCGATACCAGAGAGGAAGAACATCAGCAAGGAAAAGGAGGACGAGAGGAGAGACTGTAAGGTTAGGAACTACTCCCCGCAGGCCTTCAAGTTCTTCATGGAGCAACACGTTGAGAACATTCTCAAGGCGTACAAGCAGCGGACGTACCGAAGGATGCAGCTGGAGAAAGAAATGACGAAGATAGGACTCAGCTCCGAGGCTCAGGACCAGATGAGGAAGATGCTGTCACAGAAGGAGTCCAACTACATCCGGCTGAAGAGGGCCAAGATGGACAAGTCCATGTTCGACAAGATCAAACCGATAGGAGTCGGGGCCTTCGGGGAGGTGACGCTGGTGAGGAAGATCGATACTAGTCATCTATATGCCATGAAAACGCTCAGGAAAGCTGATGTGTTGAAGAGGAACCAAGTGGCTCACGTCAAGGCCGAGCGGGACATCCTAGCGGAGGCCGACAACGAGTGGGTTGTGAAGTTGTACTACAGCTTTCAGGATAAGGACAATCTATACTTCGTTATGGACTATATACCGGGGGGCGACCTCATGTCCTTGTTGATTAAGTTAGGTATCTTCGAGGAGAACCTCGCGAGGTTCTACATCGCGGAGCTGACGTGCGCGGTGGAGAGCGTGCACAAGATGGGCTTCATCCACCGCGACATCAAGCCCGACAACATCCTCATAGACCGCGACGGACACATCAAGCTGACGGACTTCGGGCTCTGCACCGGCTTCAGGTGGACGCACAACTCAAAGTACTACCAGAGAAACGGTTAGTAGTTCAATAGTCTATTGGATCGATACAAATACTCACATAGAACATAAATGCTTACTATATTAGACGTGGTTGCGTTTTATTCATCTACATTTTTTATAAGATTGATTATTGAGAGTATCTCAACTAACTCAGTTCTATGTATATGATTGCTTTAATTTTCGTATTAATATGGATATCTTTATGTACAGGGTGACGGGTGAATTACTATCGATATTTGAGGACGTGATATTTGACGATCATATATGACAAAATAAAAATTAATATAACATAAATATTAATAAATTTCTAAGTAAAGTTAACCAAAAGTTATGTAATTAATTACGCATCGTGTGAACACCCTACAGATTAGGTATATACACACACACACTCGCGTGCGGCGGCGTGGTGTTGTATCAGCTCGTCTCCGCACGCGTCCACACTTGGAACGTGTACACACTTTATTTATTTATACGGAAATTTGGTCAAAAATTAAGTACCTATTTTTTTTACATAATTCGAATGAGAATCATGTACCGAGTATGCTCCTTAAATATTGATAGTAATTCACCAGTCACCCTGTATATAATTCTTCTGTGAGTGTGTACGTCACTGAAGTTCTCTCAAACGACTGGACCGATTTTGATGCAATTTTTTGTGTGTGTTCAAGGGGATCTGGGAATGGTCTAGAATCACAATTTTGTCCGCTGGACAATGTTTTTTTAATTAATTTTTAATTTATTAGTAGTTGTTGATACAAACGTTTTTTTGACATTAGATTTGACAACTAACTAATATGTCAATCATTCTGTCGCACTTCAAAACACGGAGATTTATGGCTTTAATAGGTAAACTCCAAAAATATAAATAAAAAAACGTAACATAGTTCGCCGGGTCTTCTAGTAGATATATATTATATAATAGTATTTTAAAAGATGTTAAACTTTTTCCCCAGACCACGGCCGACAGGATTCAATGGATCCCGTGGACGGCGAGTGGGGCGCTATGGGTGAATGTCGCTGTCACCAGCTGAAGCCTTTAGAGAGGCGGCGGAAACGGGAACACCAGCGATGTTTGGCACACTCCCTCGTGGGGACACCAAATTACATAGCACCCGAAGTGTTACAGAGGACTGGGTACACTCAGCTCTGCGACTGGTGGTCAGTGGGGGTCATATTATTTGAGATGCTGGTCGGATCTCCACCTTTTTTGGCGTCCACGCCTGCTGAAACTCAGTTAAAGGTATGTTATAATTTTCTATTATGTACGTTTTTTTAAACTTCACTATAGAACCATAGACAAATCCTCTTAATAAGAGAGACTCATACCTAAATCGACCAAAAACTTTTTGTGATTAATTCTAAGCTTTGATGATTATTGCTACCATAATAATAAGTATATATGTATATATTGCTTCTTTTGAAGGTAAAAGTCCATAGTACGTATGTAAATCATGTGATTTAAAGACAAGTGTTCCACAAGGATCTGTTCATGATTTTTATTTTGAATGGTTTGAATGATGTTCATAATATTTCATCAGAAAATAAATATAAATTGTAAATAATTTGCAGATATTTTTTTTAATCAAAAAAATTCGCATACATTTTCTTTCTTAGTATACAGGGTGACTGGTGAATTACTATCAATATTTAAGGACGTGGTAGTTGACGATCATATATGACAAAATAAAAATTAATATAACATAAATATTAATAAACTTCTGAGTAAAGTTAACCTAAAGTTATGTAATTAATTACGGATCGCGTGGATACCCTAGCTGCGTTATCGACACAAAACAGTTATGTACGTAGGTATATGTAGTTATCGCGCGGTAGTTTACCTACATCCAAACGCCGCGCGCCGCCGCGTGTTAGACCTTAGATAAACAAAAATGATCCAATTCCCTTCATACTTTAATCCTGGCTTAGGACAGGCAAAAATACCAAGATGTTTCTTTCGTTTAAGCAACCAATTTATTGACTAGGTAAATGGTGTGACCTTGACACAAAAAATAATATGAACTGTTTACCTATCTTGGTATTTCCGGCGTATTTAAAAATGGAATCATACTTATTTACAACAATTGTCAATCATTAAACTACCTATTTACCTACATAACTACACTAACCTTAACAAATGTTCAAAGCGAGCTCCTTCTCGTGTGATACACAGTTCGGCACGTTTACACATATTGTCTTTCACACGATTTAATACGAATGGGTCACTTTTAATAGTTTTGAAATCACTATTGATTTTTAATTTCAACTCCTCTCTGTTTACATACTCTGTAGCATACACAAGACGTTTCCTTGGGCATGTGTTGGAACACAGAACTGTCCGAAGTCTCGTAATCTTTGATTAGCGTTTAAGATGACGCTGGCCGTAGGTACTCGACGATTGGGGAACATCTCCCGGTACAAATTGATTGCGCCCGGCAAGCTTTCATTTGCACGCGCATACGCATGAACCATGTATTCTGCATTTGTGTATTGAAAAGCCATATTAATTACTAATAAGTAATAACGGGTCACACGCACACACGACAGATTATTATTAGGTATACGCGTAAGATCGATCGCTAGGCGCGCGCGCGGGAAGACGAACGTACGGACCTTTCGGCGGCGCTCGCGCGACTAATAGCCGACTAATGGCCCGCTAGCCACGGGGCGGGGGTTGGGGAGTAGCGACACACTGGCGCCGGCAAGGCTGGGTACATGTCCAAACTTTATTTATTTATACGGAAATTTGGTCAAAAATTAAGTACCTATTTTTTTTACATAATTCGAATGAGAATCATGTACCGAGTATGCTCCTTAAATATTGATAGTAATTCACCAGTCACCCTGTATAATTAGATGTACTTTCGCATGTTTTCTTGAAAAAAAAACTCTTGGTGCGAGTTGGTAAAATTACTTCAGCGTTTCGATACCGAACCGTTTATTGGTGGTTTAATGATTTTTTTTAATAAAAACCTACTCCAAATAACTGAGCTATCAAACAAAAAAAACTTCGACTAGATCGTGCATTCGTTTGCCGAGATCAGATGATCTCCGTTAATGCAAGATCTTATTCGCCAGTATAGCATTTCGCTCCATTCAATAAAATGTCCTAGATCGATCACTAAAATATAAAAACATAAAACTAAAATTATATATTTTTTTAATATTGTATTATTCACATTCGATGGAAGCTTTGTCACAGACACAGGATTCATAATGGCTGGTGAATATTTGCTTGAATAAAGCATATTTAAAAAAACCTTTTTTTAAAATTTTAAGGTCATAAACTGGGAGAGCACGCTTCACATACCTGACGCTGCGAACTTATCCCGGGAGAGCAAGGACCTCATACTGCAATTATGCTCCGGCCAGGAAACCAGGCTGGGGAAGGACGCCAACGAAGTCAAAAACCACCCCTTCCTCAAGAGCATCGACTTCGAGAAGGGTCTGCGGAGACAAACAGCGCCCTACATCCCTAGAATAGACTATCCAACAGATACTTCCAACTTCGACCCAATAGACCCTGATAAGTTGAGGAATTCCGGCTCCGATTCAAACAAGTCGGACAGCGAGCTCGACAACGGCAAGACCTTCCACGGGTTCTTCGAGTTCACGTTCAGGAGGTTCTTTGATGATGGTTACACCAACAAGATCAACTTGGACGACGACCACCAGGGACCTGTGTATGTGTGACATACACACACACACTCAGCTTTGGGGGGGGATATGTATGAACTTTCCTATACAATCAAAGTGTGAACGGGGCCTTATCTGAAGTAATAACCCTTCTCGCCTCTCCTAAGGCTGAATACGGCCATACCCATAACTCTCTCTATTAAACGAGTAGTTCTCGTAAACATAACGAATGTAACGTATGTATTAATATATATATACTTATATGTACATATAAATATATATACATTAGTACAGTATTGTTAATAATCCCGGTGATAATGTTGTAATATTGTATCGTTATGTATTTGTAAGTATAGAAGTTGTATTATATGTGAGGGCCGGCGTGCCGCCCGTTCGTGTATACTATTTTTGTAACTAGAGAAATTATTTATGAGATAAGAACAATAAGTTTCGACGGACGGTCGATATATTTTGCTATGTATTTATGACGCGGAGTCATTGGTCGTGCCTTGGTCGGTGTAGAGCGATCTACGCCGCGTGTAGGGATACAGAGCTCTGGGTGATTCCTACGTGAGTTAGGAATATTTTTTTATATAACTCGATATAACTTAGAGAGTGCAATAAATATTTATTAACAAACCGGACTCACATTATAAATCTGTAATGTATGTATCTTTCGGAGGTATGTATTTATGTTTTAACTAACATCAAGTTGTATGTAGTCGCTAATAACTGGAATTGAACAAATGTCGTGTGAATAGAATAACTCGCTTGCGGTCCGCGGGCCTTGTACAGTATGTTGAATGAGTCAGACAATCTTAAATTATGTGTTATTCAATGTATATTGTTTTATTCTAAAATGAAACATGCTTTTAAGTAATGAAAATAAAATATGGGAATTCTGTTGATCTTTTTTTCTGTGTATCACCTACCCTACCACCGGGTAAATTAGAGCAAATACATTAAAGAAGTCACATTAAAAATTTTGTATGGTTATTCGAAACATCATTCATACATTAAATCTAAACTTTATAACGATCCTGTACAAGGAGAAAGTATTACTTGATGCAATTCAAAAAATGGGTTTTTCAAAATTTTTGCTAAAGCGTTGGTGTTGCCATGATAGTTTACAAATATTTTAGATAATATAATTTGTCTTAGAAAAACGTGCAACTATAGTTCGAGTTACAGTTTCAATTTTAATGTTCAGCGTTACTTCCAGTAACATTTTACAAAATGGATGAAGTCAGTATTTATAGTTTTCAAATACAAGGTGATACTTAAATGTTGCCATTACAAAATTGTAATGGTTCAGTTTTATTATTAATTATAGTCAGTCAGCAAATTAATTCTAGGGATTAAAGTATATTGTGATTAGCACGAAACAAATGGTGCCATTTGTGACATTATTTGTGTAAAGAAAAAAAAAATTTAAACACTTATAATTTAAAATCACCAACCCGTCTTGAGCAAGCGTGGTGATTAATGCTCAAACCTCCATGTGAGAAAGAGGCCTTAGCTCAGCAGTGGGCTCTGATAGACTGATGATGATGATAATTCAAAATGTCACATTTGAGTGTAGCCAGTAAACTTAGCTCGTTTTTATACCGGTAGGCCCATTCCATAAAAATGGTGTGATTCAGTTTAAAACTATTGATTAACTAAATCTGCAAAAGTTCGAAATAACAAACTCTTTGCAGGATAGAAAAAATATAAAAGAATAAATCTATTCGATTCACCACATCTTCAAACTTCTGTTATAGTCCGTTAGACTTAAGCTGAGCTTTGCATTTGTGTGAGTGAAAGTATAAGTAGAGTTAGACAAAGAACTTTTAGAGTTCAATTTTAATATATTTTAAATAGATACACAACATAAGTGCTCGAGCTATTCTAGATTAAAAATAAAATAGGCAAAACTTGTAAAAAGCCAGAGCTAATTATTATGAAAAAGAAAAATTAATTAATAAATTTTTTGAAAAAAACTATACAAATTCTTCTTCACTTGACATCGCGTTTTCAACATTTGTAATTGCTACCAGTACAAAGGGTGAAGTTTGGGGCGAAGTAAAAGCAGAATAAACCGGTTCAAAACTAGAAAGGAACGTGGTATGAAAAAAATTTACATCACACCTACACTATCCGTGTGCACTCACACAAATGCAAAGCTCAGCTTAAATCAAACGCACTGTAGTTGTTGTGGTTTCCCTTCATCCAGGGTGCATGTAATCCGGCCGATAAAGACATGTTATCATACCTCAAATTACCAAAAATTTGTTATTTAGATTCATACAATCTTGCAATTTTTTATACATTTAATCTAGACCTATAAATTGCCAAATTCATAAATCTTAGTTAAGGGAAGTTGGACTTAATCTTTACTTATAAGTTTGTATAGTGACTCTACGATGATCAACTATGAAATCTCCTTACATAGTTTGTTTATGCAATACTGTGGCAAGACTACTTATATATTTAAATGTCAAATGGCGCGAATGTAATTTTTTTTGTACAAATTTCATACCTTTTTAAATTTAGAAGTTTCCATTAATCGACTAAGGAGATCAAATATATAAGAATGTATGCAAGATTAAGCAATCCCATTATCTTTTTCAAATTACGGAACTCTTATCACAAGTTTTCTTCATCAAGGTAATCCCTCATTTAGATTTTATTCCCTCATTAAAGTTATTAAGGTAGCTAGATAATTGAAAGAACTGAAAATTCAAATTTGAGGAATGTTACAGATGCCATAAAATTATAAGTATAACCCCTTCCCTTGCCACAAGATTACATTATTACAATATGAAAAACTTTTAACGCTCCGTGAGTAGTTCGGCGAAGCAGAACTGGGGTAAGCATAATAGCAATTGTAGAAGTAAGTATTAAGTGAGAATCGTTCTGTTATTTGGAAGGTCGCAGCTACATGCAATGTAGCTACATGCAATGCTTGACATGCAACACTTCACATATAGAATAGATGATGTATAGTTCGTTACTTTTCTCCAAAATATTTTAGGTATGAAGTCTCGTATATATACTCTGCATTGTGTGGTAACAAAATTATTTTCTGTGCCAAACTTTTTTCCATTCTACTATCCTACCAGACCCTATCTCTATCGTTGTGTATTTTTGGTCGCTATAAGTAGTTGTGGATACAAAGCGCAATTTAAGCATTGAAATCTTTATTATTGACAAACTGTCTTTCTGAATATATTAACTGTAATTTGCATTTTTTTTTTGTAATATTATTTCATTGGGTTTGTAAAACAGTGTATATACTTAATTAAACGCGTATAAGGTATCTACAAATATGTTAACAATAAAAAAAAAATTTGAAATGAGAAATGTTTTAAGCTCGTTATGTAATTTTAAAATGGAAACTTGGAGTAGGCGTAGAGATTGATGCTTTTAAGTGTTAGGATAAGTGTTAACTACGATATTTAGTATTAACTATTCAACAGTTGGCAGCGGACCATGCAAGTCTCCACTTACTCCCGGTGCTATGGGCACTATTGGGACGAACTAAAAGTTTGGTTTAAATAATTTCAGCCCAATGATAGTTAATATACAGAGTTACGGGAGGAAATGTCCTTTCGAAAGACATCATTCAGTTATTAAAGTGACGCCAATATCCTTATTGTTTTGCAATCCTAAATATTATTTGTAGGTATATAGGTAAGTATACACAAACTCTACAATCTATTTTAAATAGATCATTTAAAGTTAAATATTAAGTCTGTCACAATGTCTACATAATACCTACTTTTTCTTTTAAATTAAATGATTAGCACGAAACGAACTATAATTTAAGTACATTTTTTTATATACGGCTTCTATTTCCGACAACCAGTGAAGGCAGTGATGAATGAAGGTTGAACTACTAATAAATTAAAAAACAAGTTATCTAAAAGCCAAAAATCACTTTTTTCAGAGTTGCTTATTATTTGTCTATGAGTTTTATAAATAGATAGGTACATAGAGCAATAATTCTAGATAAGAAGCCATGACACACTTAAGATAAGGCATTGAAATAATTGAATCAGTTAAAATGAAAACAAGTTAATGATAGTACATAATACATTTATATCTAGTTAGGTTACAATAAAAAAGATCTAAAAGAACCTAGTTCAGTATCATTAGCACATATTTTCACCGTCAGACAATACAGGAAGCGTATGACAATATAAACTAGGGGTACGCACAAAGTATTTTAACTGTGGAAAGGTGATGATGACAAAAAAAAAATTCTAATTATACATACATATAACATGTTCAAATTTCATGAATTTCTATATCTAAGCTAATTGTCATCTGTGGAGCTGCACTTAAAAAGATAAAGTATTAATTACGCCAATTTGATGGTTATATTTCTTTTATTTCTATTCCAGCTTACTTACTTTACAACAGAAAAACTTTTTTCGTTTTTACACTATTTGCTAAACTTAGTACAGTATTCTTCACCTTTAAAAATATTTTCTGTAATGAATTATATTCTGTTAATATTTTGTATAATTATATCATTTTCTTTTCATAGGTGGTAGAGCCTAGCTGTAGTCAAGTTACTACAGCTCGAACATGGGCTGCCTCGACCGGGGAAGTACCACTCTCTCACAGAAGATCGGCGTGAAGTAGTCAGTAATAACTGCATTTCGTCCGATGAGTGAGAGTGCCATTTGCCCTTTCCCTGTTCCCACCCTTTCCTGCCATTTCCTTATTCCTATCCCTCCCTATTCCTCGAAAACTAAGGTTGGCAACGCTTATCTGATCATTAAAAGTGGATCGTTAAAGGAACGATATATAATTTATTGTTCCTCTGCTAAAATTAATACCAAAAAAATAGTTTCAGTCCCTTGAAGAAAGTACAGAAAGAATTAAGTCAACGAATTCTAAGTAAAAAGTTTTTATGTCTTTTCTACCTATTGATCAGTATTCCAATATAATCCATCCCTGTTCCAAAATAGTCCATCCCTATTGCAATATTGGCAATAAAACAGAAATACAAATTGTATATTCAATATTTAACCAATACAATTTTATATATACCTAAATTATCATAATAGGTTTTGTAAACAGTGTTTATTGAAAACTTAAAGTATGAATCACGAAATAATTTTAATTATCTATTGTTTTTCAATATAAATTATTTATGATTTCACTTAACGTCTATTAATAATATATTTTTAAATTTCTTTTATTTTGAAATATTAAGGAATTATAATAGACAATGAAATAAGCATTTGCCCACGCCAAAATCAAACTATAACGAGATAAGACTAAATAACTGATTATGGAAGAAGATTTATCGAAACTTATTAATTTAGAAAATTATTTTTTTTGTAACAGAAACTAACAGTTTTGTAGTTTTGTATAGCCGAACCTCTATATGTCGAATATCAAGGAGGACGCAATAAAAAACTCGAATTATAGAGTTTTCGACTTATAGAGAATTTCGTATTAGGAAGATTTTGATTCCTTCTAAATTGCGTTCTAAGAAATAATGGTCTCCTTACACTTTCAACTAATTCTTAAGTCGTCTATTTATTTATCGTCGAACTATAGAAGTAATAATAAGTCTCACATACCCGAGTTGTAAAGATTGTATAATAAAACATTTGTGTATTCGAAGTAGGGAAAATATGTATCAATATTGCTTGTAGGGAGTCACTGATTATTTTGACTAAAAGAAGTTTAAGATGTAGAGTTATGAAGGTTTTAGTGACTGAAGGAAAGGGAACAAAACCTTTTTTTCGGGATTTTCAAGTTGTCGGGATCGAATTAACGAAGTTCTACTGTAAATTATTTAATAATTCTGTCTTTAAAATTGAAGTTTACTAGTTAGTTTCTATCATTGGGGAAAGTATAATTTTTCAAGAAGTCAGCGCTTCATATTTTTTTACAATAGTATATTTTTTTATTCTCCTTCTTCTACCTGGCAATTTCCCAGCTTTAGCCAGGGTCTGCCTTACATATTGTGAATAGTTTTGGCTATTTGTTTTTACGACCGGCCGCCTGCCTGACATCAACCCTCTTTTTGGGAATAAGCATTAATCAGTGATGTCTAAATACTCTTAGAAAGTACATATGGCTCGGAAAAATCACATTGGTACTTGCCCGGGCCAGGATCGAACCCGCGCCCTCGTGCATGAGAGGCGGACCTTTTAACCACTAGGCCACCACTGAATTTTTTTATTATAAATCAACTAATTATTTCAGAAGTGGAGCAATTTCTGATTCTGTTAGAGCATGTAAGCAGCAATTTTAAAGATATAAATAGTTTTAAAAAAATCCGCGCTATCTTCCTTGGGGTTTTCCAAGACCTGATATGTGCACTGAACGCAAACACTTTCAGTGCACAAACTCAATCTTATCTCATTACATAAAAATGTCCTCAGATAAGATTGCAGCATATGCAGATAGACGGAAGTATTATTGTTTAATTCTAAGATATAGGCACTAACATATTTGCGACCCTTCTGATTTTTAGGGTTATACGAGGGCGGTCCGATAAGTACTTAGCCTCACCGCCAAAAGGTGCCATTATCGCAATAGAAATTTACTATCGTGTAGTACATTCTCCTAGACAGCTACTGTCCAAATTTCAGCCGTATCGAACTCTTAGCTGTGTTTTGACCGCGTGTGGAAGCAAACGTGACCGCAGATTTTAGAACAATGGAAAAAGAGCAATATCGGTCGGTGATTCGATTCTTGTTTTTGGAAGGGAAATCGCGCAAGCAAATCAAAGAGCGCTTGGATGCTGTGTACGGTGACTCTTCTCCTTCGATAGCGACCGTCAAAAATTGGTTTAACGAGTTTCAACGCGGTCGTACGTCAGTTTTTGATGAGCCTCGCCCAGGTGCCCCGAAAACTGCTACTACGGAGGATAACATAACAAAAATCCACGATCTCGTATTGGCAGACCGCCGATTGAAGGTGCGCGAGATAGCTGAGACAGTAGGCATCTCAAAAGACCGCGTGGGTCATATCCTGCATGAAATTTTGGGCATGAGAAAGCTTTCGGCGCGATGGGTGCCGCGTTTGCTCACTCCGGACAACAAACGCAACCGTGAGACCACTTCAAAGCAATGTTTGACGCTGTTTAAGCGCAATCCAAAGGAGTTTTGCGTCGTTTCGTGACCGTCGACGAAACATGGATCCACTGGTACACACCAGAGACCAAGGAACAGTCGAAACAGTGGACTTCACCCGGCGAACGTGCTCCGAAGAAGGCGAAGACTGTCTTATCGGCCGGAAAGGTGATGGGCACCATTTTCTGGGATTCGCAAGGTGTGATCTACATCGACTACCTGGAGAAGGGCAAAACGATCACAGGGCTGTACTATGCCGATTTGACGCCATATTGCAAAAAAAACGGCCCCATTTGGCGAAGAAAAAGTGCTCTTTCATCATGACAACGCACCGGCTCACACCTCCGCCGTCGCCACAGCCAAATTGGTCGAATTAGGCTACGAAATGCTGCCCCATCCACCGTATTCTCCAGATTTGGCCCCGTGCGACTTCTTTTTGTTTCCAAACTTGAAAAAGGCACTCGCCGGGCAAAAATTTGAGTCAAATGAGGAGGTCATGGCCGCCACGGAGGCCTACTTTGCAGACCTCGAGAAAACGTATTTTTCAGACGGGTTAAAAAAGTTGGAGCATCGCTGGGTCAAGTGTATTGAGCTAAAAGGAGATTATGTTGAAAAATAAATCACCACATTTCCAAAATTTTCGTTTTTCTTTTGTAGGCTAAGTACTTATCGGACCGCCCTCGTACAGTTTATAGTCAACGACATCTCATGGGCTAAGTTATGGCGTCCCTAACCAACATTCAATGTTGTCCTTAAGCCACAAGCAATGTATTATAGTAGCTGTGTTTAGACCTTAAAACACACTTAAAATCTGTTTCAATCAATGGCTTTTCAAATCTATCGAGAAATTTTAAAGAGAGGTTGTTATAAGCCCCCCATAGCTAAAACCAAAGAAATATGTATAGCATAATGAGATCTAAGACTTTCGCGAGTATTCGTTTAATTAAAACCAATATTTTGAGATTAGTTTGCGTTATTTTTTCTTTTTAAATCTAGATATTCTTGTCTGCCCGTGATCACGGTTGCTGCTAAGTAACCAAAACGTCGTAGTATCTAATTTTAAAATAATAAAATATGCGTAGTAATACGAAAATATTAGTTTTAGGCAGGCAATACGAAAATATTAGTCCCAGTCACTGTTGAAGCTCCTCACCCTGCAACGCGATGGCCCCGGCACCCGCACGATGAATCCATTGCATGCTAAGAGGTTTCGTCTCTGTGTAGTACTTTAGTCAATTAACAAATAATGTATTACCTCAATCACAGCAATTAAAAGAAACTGTTTATTCAGTTTTTCAGCTGGAAGTGCTTTGGTTTGCATTTATGATATCTTTTTGAATCAATAGCAGGACTTTTTACAGGAAATAATGAAACAAGTAATTAATATATATTAACATATTATATTACATATAAACCCAATTTCTCTAATTTCATTTAAAGTGAAACCCATTTAAATCCAGTCCATCATTTATGGTAGTAATAAAAACTCTTGTACCCTCTTATTGAAGTCTTCTGCGTATCTCATATGTATATTGTGTTTCCCCTCAGGATATAAATGAATTCTGAAAAATAAATATACATATCATAAAAATTACTAAATAATTATTTATAAAATATATTTAAGTCTGGCAACACAGAAACATTTTACAATCAATTGTATTAAATCACATACAATTTTATATTATAATTGTTTTTAGCAAACATTTCTTGAATATATTATTTATGTTAATATCTCTATATAATTAATTACCAACATAATATTATGTAGAAATCAATTTGGCTGTATATAAATAAATTGTTATATAAAATAATTGTATTGTCTGGAGTTAATAATATATGCATGTGTATGTGTGAGTAATTGTATTTGTATGTGTGTGTGAGGGTGTGTTAACACTAATCTTTACTTGATATTCCTTTTACCTGGAGCCGGTTATGTTAGTATGTAAATGTGAAACATGAACGTGGTCCACCAAAGGGTCCTTCTCTCCATACAAAATGAATGTAGGACAGACAATATCTTTTACATATTCCGAACAAATGTCTCCGTTCTTAGTGTTGTATATTCTTTCCATAGCATCGACCCATGCTGCCCAGTATTTGGTAAACTTTTCTTCTCCATAAATAGCTATCATAACTTCTCTTTGACGTTGTGACCAATTAGTAACATCTCGGATTTCTAAGAAATAATAATTTTGTATTATCAGATGTTCAAATCTATATTTGTCTAACAAATTTTATTATATAGATGGGAGGAAGTAAAATACATGCATACAAATACTTAATTTTAAGTTGAAAAATGTTCTTAAAAGATTTTCAAACAATTATACATATACATATATATATATATATCTTTTTTTATATATAATTTTGTCACAACCACACACCATAATTAGTTTATTTATTAAGAGTACTTTTGTATGCTTCGAGCTCCTTTGGCAGTATAAATGAGTTAGCTCCCCACACAACCAGTTTGGAAACTGCGTCTGGATACTTGGCGGCCAGAATAAGACTGGTGATGCCTCCGTCACTGAATCCCATTAGAGAGAATTTTGGTACATTTAATGTCTAAAATACATGATATTATATAATCAGTTTATTAACATATTGACATAAAAAACTCTTTTCTAAATTTTTTTATGGCCTTCTATGTGTAGCTACTTTTTTAAAATATAGAACTCCAATAGACATTTTTTAAAACTTTCTGCTAAGTCTTATAAACTGTTATTAGTACACAATGATTATTATTTCTACCTTCATTAATTCATATGCGAGATCGGCATCTCTTTCAAGGAAATCAACTGTAAATTCCTTTTCGGGTGGACAACTTTTTCCATAGCCCGGTGGGTCCCAAACAATTAAACTAAATTTGTCTTTATTCAATCCTTCCACCTGCGGTTTAAATTCCGACCAGATCGTACCCAAAGCCCCGGGAGCACAGAAGACATTGTGTGGACCATTTCCTACCTTAAGGTAGTTAATTTCATATTTTCCGAGTTTGATTTTATCTTCCTACAAAAAATATAAATTTAGAAAAAACTTGAGACAAAAATTGTAAATGCGACAGACGTTCATATATAAAAACAACTAGTGATAACCATTTGAAATAAATTAGATAAGTAATTTATATTAAAATTAAAAACTAATTAATAATATAAGCTGTTACCTTTGGAAGTGCCGCAGAAGAAAGGTTCACACGAGAAATACGTAAATTATTTATACCCCTTATAACTCTACTTGCTAACATTTTTCTTAAAATTATACAAATTTCACCTTCACCGTACCGGAATTTGAAGTAACACTGAAATATTGAAAGTTGAAACTTATAGAACTAGCTGTCATAATATTTGACATTGTACTTATAATGTCAAATAGTAAAGCAGGAAATATATTGTATTTGATAGAGTGGTTAAAAATATATTATTATACATTATTGTGTTTAGTTAAAATTGGTAAAATTATTAAGAAACAAATAAATGTCCCTTTAACATATATACCATTTTACATTTTTAAAGTGTGATTAGTCGGTGGTATCTAAGATTTTTGCGTGTACTCATTTAAAAGAAACAAAGCTTTCCGTATACTACACGTTTTTATTATGTTGTAACTACATAATCCTGAAGTTTCGATTGCCTTACGGAAACGATGGTCACTGGAAGACGAGATGGATGTCGTATTACAGAAATAAAGTATAAAAAAATGCCTTGTATCTGAAAAACTTCGTTTCTATTAAATGTGAACATGCTAAAATCTTAGACAAAATTATAATCGATGAAGTCATATGCGAAGTCTTGTGCTTATATTATACTGCATATGTTCTGGTCTCGGCCATTAAGGCGGGGACACATCGACTCAACTCAATTGATCTCAATTTTGGAAGCCAGTTTCAGTATTTAAAATCATTCCTTTTCCTTATGGAATATTAATGAGGTGTTGTTATTGAGCATTCTTATGTATACATGTCGCTAATCTGGTAGATAAAGGATGTGCAATGAGTGCAAATTCAAATTTGTGTAACATCACATTTTCTTAAAATATCATGTTTAAACCAATTTATAATTATAATCAGAACGCTCAAGCTTACGATACGGTATTTCATTTAATAATCTATGAAATGAGAAGATCTGTGAATGAAAGACTGTTAAGGCCATTGACATATACTAATGGAAATGCCGTACGCGTATAATCTGCAGTAATTTTTTGGTTTGAAAAGAGTGAGAGAGATGGCCTATGCTTTCGGTCTAGCACTATCTCTTTTCTCAATTAGCTGATTGGCGCTCAGTTTTCATGACATTAGGAAATAATAAATTATCTAGAAGGGGCTCACAAAGTCTTAAGTACGGTTCTATTTTGAGATAAAGATAGACCGAAACTTCGTTTCCTCTCTTTCTTTCGGAGTGCCACAATTCTCATCTCTAAGGCATGTCCATTAGTATATGTCACTGGTTAAGGCTCTGTAGGTTGTTAGGAGATGCAAACATGTGTTTTTGCCACTATGATTTGGAATTATAGCACACCGGTCACTCAAGTATCTTTTTAAGTTTTAGTGACGAAATCGCTAAGGAATTGTCAAAAAGTATGAAAATTATTAAATATAATTTTATGAGATTTTTGCCGCTTGGTTAAATATCTAAAAAAAATATTGGTTGATTGAAAAGCAGGTTTACGATGGAGATGTTTACGTGATAACGTCTTATTGGTGATATAAGTTTTTGGGAAGTAAGGAATTAATGAAGATAAAAATTTTTTCAAATTTTAAATTACATCTATGTTTTATTCACACTTTTGATGATAAATTTCGGGTGTAAAATGACAAGTTTACTTATTCGACTATGATATACATTTTTCTTCATACATACATTCATACAAACATACTTTTATACATTTATACAAACATTTATGCATACACACATACATACCATACCTTTTCTTGTTGCAATTGTTGTAACACTTCACTTGCACTTCAAATTTTGTTTCATTGTTAAACATTCAACGAAAACTTAACCGCACGAGAAAATCTCCATTCGTTTGTATGCCGCTAGAGTGAGAGAGACGGAAGGTCGCTCCACTCACTCGAACGCTCTGCCTGCCTCCGCTCGTGAGGATTCCGCGTGACAAATTTCACGGAATGACTGGCAGCGCTCGAGATGAGACGGGAGATCGGTCCGTCTCTCTCGTTATACCTGCGATCGCGCTCGTGAGGTTTTGGTGTGACACAAGTTTCTGAACATGTCACCCGACTAAAACGATTTTAAAGACGTTATCACGTCAAAAAAATCCATGAAGAAACTAACCGTCTAACGAAACTATAAAATAATTGGTTCTCCACATTAATCAAATATCTGTTTTTTTAATAATAAAAAAATTAAACAAATGAATATTGAATAGAGCTATTTGAATATTTTGTAGGTGTTAGAGCCTAGTTGTGGTCAGTTACTACAGCTCGAATATGGGCTGGCTCGACTAGGGAAGTGCCACCTCTCACAGAAGATCGGCGTGAAGCAGTCTTTAATGGTTGTGCTTCGTCCGATGAGTGAGAGAGCCGGTTGGCTTTTCCCTATTCCCACCCTTTCCTACCTGTAGAATCCCTGGTCCTACATGTAAGTATAACTAGTCACTGTCTCACTACTACCCCGCCTAGAGCGACGCACGTCACCGTTCCACTAGTCATTAGACTGCAGAGCCATGCCACCCCCTCCTGTGAGGTACGTGAGACAGTGTGTTATAATTTATATCTATTGTATAGATACATACACTACATCCCTTCCTCATTCTAAAGTTTTATGAATTTAACCAATTAAGCGTATATACAGGGTGACTGGTGAATTACTATCAATATTTAAGGAGAATACTCGGTACATGATTCTCATTCGAATTATGTAAAAAAAATAGGTACTTAATTTTTGACCAAATTTCCGTATAAATAAATAAAGCGTGGACACGTTCCCATTGTGGACGCGTGCGGCGGCGTGCTGATACAATACCACGCCGCCGCACGCGTGTGTGTGTGTATACCTAATCTGTAGGGTGTTCACACGATGCGTAATTAATTACATTACTTTTGGTTAACTTTACTTAGAAGTTTATTAATATTTATGTTATATTAATTTTTATTTTGTCATATATGATCGTCAAATATCACGTCCTCAAGTATCGATAGTAATTCACCAGTCACCTGTATATTTTTGGTTACTCAATTTATTATTATTTATAAATTGACTCATTAATTGTCTGGTATTCACTAAGCATATTTCCATCATGAACTGATTTACACTCGTGTTAGGTGTACCACGTTCCTTCGTAGCCTTTGTCCTATCACAACACTCTTTTCTTTTCTTTTTAATAGTTCCGATTATGTCTCTCCGGTAGCCGTTTTATAGTTATAAGATTCCGTTTTAAAAACAATCACCGATGCTGAGTTTTCAGTTAACATTCGAAAGTGAACATTTTAAATTCCAGAAGTTGAATATGTTTCTTCTACTCAGAGCAACTACAAGCAAGAGTGAACTGGCATTATTTGATGACTCTATGTTCATGACGAGCCTTATTTCTTTGAAGCTAGAGACTGATAATGTTGTTACTTGAAATAATCCTAATCCATCTCTAACGTTTTATTGCAGACATCAAATATCAGTTTGCAAAGGAAACTATTGACTTTGTTAAGCAAGATCAAGCTGTAACGGAGGCAGAAATACACAATTTAACTGTTTCAAAATGCAGAAACTTGGAAGTTAGTCATGAGTTGCACATGACAATGATTGATGGCAAAGTTACTACAATAATTACAGACATTCCATCTGCAGCTACGTGTAACGTTTGTTTGGCAAAACTTAGTGAGATGAATAATCTTCAACAAATGTTTTCATGACCTGTACGGGAAGATGTATATCGATATGGACTATCAACACTTCATATGTGGATTCGATTGTATTTTACTAAGAAATAAATTGTTTTATTCAAAATCACTCAAAAGTTAAGGAATAATAATAAAATTTATTTATAACATTGAATTTATTATAAAGAATTGAAAAAGATAAAAATCTGAAAGTACAAATGTTTTTTTTGTCCAATGCTGCAAGTATAAACAAAAGATTTCTTTGTGAAAATATCAAATGTTACGTAATCATTTACAAACTTACTACCCTGTCCAAATGGTGTCAAGTAAATAAAATGAATTTAAATATTAAAAAATGTTTTGTTATTTGTTTTACAAAAAAAACGTCATAAAATATCTTACGAGTACAAATTGCAGGGCCAGGCAATTGCTTGACAATCAGTTGCTAAAGATCTTGGAATACTTTTTGATGACCAATTAACTTTTCGCGATCTTCGAAAAAATTTAGGTTTCATAATACGTACTTACAACAAAATCCTTCAAAGAATCTTATGCTATTATTTCATTGTATAACACCTTAGTTCGGAGCATCCTGGAGTACTGTGCCGTACTTTGGTCTCCTTCTTACTATGTGCATTCAGATAACATTGAAAAAATACAACGAAAATTTCTAAAAATATTAACTTATCGAAACAATCGCCATAAACAAATTAAAAGCTACAAAGATCGTCTAATAGAATTCAAAATGACCCCATTAAGTACTCGTCGACAGCAGCAAGACTTGATCACACTCCACAAAATCATACATTCAAATTTGGATTCTTCTGCTTTGCTCGGGAACATAAATATTAATACGAGGTACAACTGCCGCAAGCCAAAAACATTTTCTTTACAAGTTTTTAACAACAATACTTCTTTTTATAATCCGGTTATCAGAATGTGCCGCTTTTATAACGAAATAACTAATAATAATAATCATGAAATTGATATTTTTAACACAAATCAAGCGATCTTTGTAAAAATTGTAAAAAAAATGTCTATTTTAAAAATGCAATTTTGTAAATTTAAAAAATTGTAATTATTAACAATTATATTTCTTTTGTATTTTTTGTAACTTCAAACAAAAACTGTTTATTATACCATTTATTTTCTTCTTGTAAATTTAATTCGTGTAACTTTATTTTTGTCTTTTTTCGTTTAGTACTAATATGTAGTTATCTCCTGTATAATAATTGGCAATCCCGTCATGTTGTGCATGCAATCTTAGGGTTATAATCTGTTCGATACTATGTATGTATTAATGTTTAAGAAATATTCTCTATGTGATTGTGACCTGTTGTGTTTGCCTTAATAAATAAATAAATAAATAAAAGGTTTCATTTTGAATATTTTTAAAATTTTGAAGAATAAAAACGCATTTCAGATTTGTTCCATACATTTTTTCCCGCCAAATTAAACATATATGTACATAAAAACTGCTAGAACAAATGTTGACAGGTGTTAATTAATCTGTACGTATACGTTTTCTCAGCTTCAAATATTGACTGGATTATATCCCACCATATTCAAAATTCGGACCTCTGCGCGACGGTACTATTATTTAATGAAGAACTGTCTCCATTGAAAGGAAAAAGTGTTCACAGTGAATTTTACACCTACACTAACTTTAAAATTATTTGGCGGGAAAAGTGACTGAGTAGACGTATGATCATTTAAAATACGTTCAGTTAGTTCTTTACTAATTTGCGAGCATTTACATATAGTATACATAAATGCAATACTTATCAAACTGTTATGTGATTTAAAATTATTAGTCATAAAATTTAAATAGCACTTCTAATATGTATAGTAAATACAGCAAGAACTAGAAAATAAAAAGGTAGCCCTACCTTGCCATACATATTGTAACATTTTTATATAAATATTTGGGTGTAAATAGAAGCATTACTTTTAGTTTAATTTCTGTTTATTACAAATAAAACACAGTTATATTTAAAATTATTTTTATTAAGGTGCCAAAAGGCTCTAGCGAGAATACTAGCGGTTATGTTATAAGCAAAATAAATGAAAATTAAACAGTTACATACAAATGTAACAATAATGTAGTTTAAATATATTGTGACATCTTAAACACCCTGCAATACTCAAGTGGGTTTTAAGGCAGATTAACTTCACATCTAGGCCTTAAACAAAGCCTATAAAGAAAATATTACCTTTGTAATTGTAAAATATACTTTGGTTAACCGATGCCACAAACATTCAGAATAATACCATAAGAGCTCCGAGTGTTAAAATTCAGAATTTTATTTTAATGTGTAACAAAATAAAACCTTCCATTAGCTTATATTAACTGGCTTAATGTTGATGTTAAATCAGCCTTGTGTTAAGTGAATTAAAGCTAGTACATAGTCTAATCGAGTTCCCCGGCATTACAGGCATCTTCATAACTCTTTCCTTTCTGTTCCGGGTCTAATTTGATCATGTCATCTATACGTAGGATGGTGATGGCTGCTTCTGTGGCGAACTTCAATGATTTAATCTTAGATATCGCTGGCTCTAACACTCCGGCATTCAAGTTGTCACGGAGACTGCCCTCGATCAGGTCTAAACCAACCCATTTGAGGTTCGCGTGTTCAACCTGAAACATAACATTGTTATTTTGCTTTTGTATCCAAATTTTTCCATTCTCTGGAAACTTTTTTCATAGTTTTAGCCTTAATTAATTTATATAAAACTAGCTTTTTCCCGCAATTTTTTGCGCGCTATGGTTATATTTAGAAATGTATAGCTGATTAAGCGAATTGGTTCTACTTAGAGGCGATAAATGACAGATTTTGGATTTTATTAGCAATTACTTTTTGGTCAAACAAAGTCAAAAGTATCCTATGTCCTTCTACTGATTTCAACCTACCTCCCCACAAATTTCCAGCCGAATCCATACGTTCTTGAGCTATAAATAGTGAAACTATCTCGACTTTCTTTTATGTACATATAAGACAACTGTTATTTTACCATTTGATGTATTTAATATCAACAATGATTATATACTTTGATTTGAATGAGTATGAATGCATCTAAAGGCTAGGCGCGCACTAGGAGTTTTTCGCCGCGCGGCAGAAAAGAGCATAATGTCGCACTGTAATGGTGTACCAAACAGTTTTAAATTGTATCACACATCGTACACTTGACGGTAGAGCCACCGCAGCGGCGAAAGGTCTGTGACAAGTTACAACTTGCTTGCGGCGCGGTGGTTCATCGTTTTTTTGTATAGTGCGTTTGATTTAAGCTGAGCTTTGCATCTGTGTGAGTGCACACGGATAGTGTAGGTGAGACGTCAGATTTTTGAATGAAACGTTCTTTTCTAGTTTTAAACTGGTTTACTCTGCTTTTACTCCGCCCCGCACTTTCCTCACTTCACCTTTTGTACTGGTAGCAATATCAAATGTTGAAAACGCAATGTCAAGTGAATAAGAATTTGTAGTTTTTTGAAAATTCTTATTAATAAAAATTTTTTTTCCTCAATATTCAAAATATTTCCATCTTGACTTTTACAAGTATTGCTTATTTTATTGCACTTATGTTATGTATCTATGTAAAATATAATAAAATTTAATTCTAAGTTTTTTGTCTAACTCTACTTTTACTTTCACTCGCACAAATGCAAAGCTCAGCTTAAGTCTAACGGACTATAACATATTTGAATAGCTTTGAATTTGCGCACGACACGACGTTTCGCCGCTTTTTTGTACACTTATTTTGTTTTGCATTTAGAAAGCAACGATGGCTACGTCAATTAATTCTAATGATCTTGATGAAGAGTTCAATATTGAAATGCTTATTAGTGAAGTTATGCATTCTATGATATTTGAAGAACTTGTCGGGGTAATCATTAAGTTCGGCAATTATTTTAGATAACTGTCCGTCGTTTAAACGATTACGAATAAGAGGATGAATCCAAAATCGTTTTTACTTTCTTCGAGCTCTAATTATCAGAGCGCAAATACAAGTTGTTTCTACTAAATCCATTTTAAAACTAATAATTTTGACGCGGCAGAAAACCATAGTGCGCGCGTTTGTAGATTTTTATTTGTTTTGCCGCACGGTACAATGTTGCTGGTTTTTCTGCCGCGCAGCGAAAAACTCGTAGTACGCGCCTAGCCTAAAGCTATATAAATATATTCTTTTCGTTAATTTCCATATAATATTCATTTAACCTTAGTCTGTGAGGAGTTGTGGTATGCTCGTAGTTTAGCGACCAAGTCTGTAGCGTCCTTCGCAGCATTAACGGCCAGCGTCTTCGGTATAACGAGTAATGATTGTGCGAAGGCAGCGATTGCTAGCTGCTCTCGGGAACTCTGAAATTATATGTACATTTATTTGTAGATATTTAAATAAACACTGCTTATATAAGTAGGGAAGTTGTTTTTTTTTTGTCTTATATTTCATATACATATAATATTGAGCGAAGCGAACGAACGCTATTATGGCGATTCATTTCATTCATAGAGATGATCTCGGCAACTGAATGTACGATAAAGTCGATTTTTTTTTGTTTAATTGCCTAGTTATCTGGGGTGGTTTATCAATTCCTATTTTAGGGCCGGGATACGGAACCCATGTCCAAAAAAATAGTTCGGTACTGAAACGTTGAGATTGCTTCACTCAATTAGCTTGGTGGGCGACTTTTTTGGGCGAAGTTAGAATAATAATGCAAAGGCGCATCTCCTAATGGATCTAAGACTTTCTCGAGTATTCATTTAAATGAAACTAATATTTTCCTGATATCCTACGCGTGCTTTATTTCTGTAAAAAAACTTCATACTACAAACGTTTGTTACTTTTCTGCAACCCTGATCAAAAAAGACCACCAACATTTCTGTTACTTTTCATGGTTCGTTATCAAAAAAACCTTACTTTCATTTAAATGCATCTCCTCCTATTTAGAATTATTTGTCTATCAAATAAGTAGTACCATAGAGTTTGGTCTCCTATTCAGAATTATGCTGTCATATAATAAATATCATAGAGTTTGGTATACATAAATCTACCTACAATTATTTAGCTATCATAAAAGTATTATATACGTAGTTCTTTATATATCTAACCAGTGTGGTAGCGAAGTTATCCAGGTATATAGACAGGGCTGCTTCTACGGCCCCTCCCCCAGGCACCACTCGGCCTGATTCCAACACTCTACGCACGGCACACAACGCGTCGTGGGCTGATCGTTCCATCTCATCACAATACGCGTCTGTTGGTCCTCGGAGTATTATTGAGGCGGCTGTACGAGCTACTGGCCTGGAAGATATTGAATAATTAGAATGATTAGGTTTTATGTTTAGGGGTGATTTATTTCCCATTAAGAACAAAGTTCACTTAAACTAGTAACATAATAATAGACATTTATAAAGTTAATGGTGACCTTATTTATACAAACATTCAAATATTATAAAGTTTTTAATTTAGCCGTAAATATAAAAAAGATTTTTCGTTAAATATTTCTTTCGGTAGATTATTGTACATTAGCGCTCCCTCAAATTGTATAGTTTTGTTGCCATAACGTTTAGTTCTAGACTTAGGTATTTGTAATTTATGTTTTTTCGTGTATATTATTTATGTGATTTAGTCACATAAATACTATAGTTGATAGAATCTTTGTTTGTCATCAATACATATCGTCAATTATTTAGTGTTTAATTTATTAGTAACTAGCTTTCCGCCCGCAGCTTCGCCCGCGTGTAGTTCGGTTATATCGCGTTCCAAGAGAACTTTTCAAAAGTCTGGCATAAAAACTATCCTGTGTTCTTTCTCAAGGTCAACTCTATATCTGTACCAAATTTCATAAAATCAGTTCAGTGGTTTAGGGTTTAGGCGTGAAGGCGTAACAGACAGACAGTTACTTTCGAATTTATAATATTAGTAGGGATTGTGAAAAAAAAAGACCTTAAAAGTCGTTAATATAGAAAATATTTCAACTCAAACTATCTTCTGATAATGTGCTTCCAATTTAGATACGCGGAATTATCCAATGGTATTTACGCACTAACCCCGACGACATATGATGAGAAATTTTTATAGGCACTAAGTATATGATTAATATCACAACTTCTTCTTAATCTTAATATAATAATTATTTGATTATTCCTATATAGAACATACCCCTTAATGAGTATCAGCTGATCGTCGCAAATCTGTTCCTGGACCACTTCAGCAGCTTCACCAATCATGCTCGGCTCAAACACCTCCTCACCTGATAAATAGTTCAAATTCATTATATAATACTATTTTTACTAATAAAAATACATTATACATCCACTATGTCAATAATAGGTGTAATTTTTATAAATTGTATATGATTTTATTTCCAAAAGAGGGTTGATGTCACGCAGGCGATCGGTCGTAAAAACAAATAGCCAAAAACTATTCACAACATCTAAGGCAGATCCTGGCTATAGCTGGAAAATTGCCAGGTAGAAGAAGAAGATTGTATATGATTTGAATGCCCATAACAATTTAAACATAAATTTTAAGCAATTCTTTTTAATTACCGTCCATATTAGTCAATGAAGTCAGGAATGTAGCTCCAGTGGCCTTAGCGATTCTCTTCAAGTCAGCTTTCTTACAGCGTCTCACGCCCATAGCGCCGCATTCAACAAAGTATTTGAGACACAGGTCGTCTATACCTCCAGTACATAAGATAACATTCACTCCGGTCGATAGAATCTTGTGTAATCTTTCTTTTGTGATATCAAGCTCACGAGCTCGGATGGCTTCTAGTTTTTCTGGGTCTGATACAAGAACCTGTTAAAAATATTACAAATTTGTTATATATTTGTACTTATTTTGCATGTTATACAAATTGTTATTCATTGTAAAAATGTGTCTTTAATTTATTCTGTGTCCAAGAAAATTTTAATTTCTTTTTTATATATTTTTTTCTAAATTCTCTTTTCAGTGAAAATTATTTCTAAGCATTAATTTTTCTCATTTGAAGGAAATTGAGAAATACTATCTAATACCACATTATTAAATATTCTATACAATTTAGGATAAAAAAAGTATGCAAAATTACATACTTGCACACCCATCTTCATTTTGGTCTTCTGCAGTGAGAAATCGAGACAGGCAATCTTAGCATTAACAATCTTCTTGGGCATTGCTTGTGAAGCCACTGTACAGTTGAGAGCGTAACCCTTGATCAACACACTCTCCCTGGCACTCCTGCCGTGGGCTTTGAGAATGTTCACAGCTTTTATTGGGTACACGGCATTGCCTTTGGGATCTGTTACTTTAATAGCTTGAGCAGCATCTACTATTACTTCCGAGAAGAAATCTGCATCACTGCATATTTACATTAAGTATATTATGATGAGAATATTCCAAACATAGTTTGTTTAACATTTAGAAAATTGTATGTATATAATTTACTTAAATCATATTATACATAGATGTTTGTTGGTTTTTCACAAGAAATATGCTAACCAAATTTTGATTATAAAGCAAAACATAGCTTTCTAACTATAAAATGATTTGGCGGGAAAAATGACTGAGTAGAGTGTAGACGTATGATCATTTAAAATAGATTCAGTTAGTTCTCTACTAATTTGCGAGCATTTACATATAGTATACATACTTGCAATACTTATCAAACTGTTATGTGATTTAAAACTGCGAGGAAAACAAATGTTTCGGCAATATTTCATAGTTATACAATTTAAAACGCTCTTCTTACATGTAAATACAGCAAGAGCTTGAAAGTAAAAGGTAGCCCTACCTTGCCATACATATTGTAACATATTTATATAAATAATTGGGTGTAAATAGAAGCATAACTTTTCGTTTAATTTCTATTTATTACAAATAAAACACAGTTATATTTAAAATTATTTTTATTAAGGTGCCAAAAGGCTCTAGCGAGAATACTAGCGGTTATGTTATAAGCAAAATAAATGAAAATTAAACAGTTACATACAAATGTAACAATAATGTAGTTTAAATATATTGTGACATCTTAAACACCCTGCAATACTCAAGTGGGTTTTAAGGCAGATTAACTTCACATCTAGGCCTTTTAAAGCCTATAAAGAAAATATTACCTTTGTAATTGTAGAATATACTTTGGTTAACCGATGCCACAAACATTCAGAATAATACCATAAGAGCTCAGTGTTAAAATTAAGAATTTAATTTTAATGTGTAACAAAATAAAAACTTCCATTACATAGCTTATGGGCTAATGTTGATGTTAAATCGGCCTTGTGTTAAGTGAATTAAAGCTAGTACATAGTCTAATCGAGTTCCCCGGCATTACAGGCATCTTCATAACTCTTTCCTTTCTGTTCCGGGTCTAATTTGATCATGTCATCTATACGTAGGATGGTGATGGCTGCTTCTGTGGCGAACTTCAATGATTTAATCTTAGATATCGCTGGCTCTAACACTCCGGCATTCAAGTTGTCACGGAGACTGCCCTCGATCAGGTCTAAACCAACCCATTTGAGGTTCGCGTGTTCCACCTGAAACATTATATTGTTAGTTTGCTTTTGTATCCAAATTAATGATCTTCTTCGGATTTTTTTTTCAAGGTTTTAGCCTTAATTAATTTATATAAAACTAGAAGATCCGGCGAACTTCGTATCGCTCTATAATCAAGAAATATCTGTTACGTTTTTTTATTTATATTTTTGAGTTTACCTATTAAAGCCATAAATCTCCGTGTTTCGAAGTGCGACAGAATGATTGACATATTAGTTAGTTGTCAAGTATAATGTCAAATAAAACGTTTGTATCAACAACTACTAATAAATTAAAAAAACATTGTCCAGCGGACAAATTTGTGAATCTAAACCATTCCCAGATCCCCTTGAATACGCACAAAAAATTTCATCAAAATCGCTCTAGTCGTTTGAGAGAAGTTCAGTGACATACAGACTCACAGAAGAATTATATATATAAAGACTAGCTTTTGTCCGCGACTTTGTAAACGTTATTTTCTTAATTAGAGATATTATATAGCTGACCAGGCAAACTGGTGCGATTCAGAGTCAGTAAACAAACAGATTTTGGATTTTATTAGCAATTTCTTTTTGGTCAAACAAACTCAAAAGTATCCTATGTCCTTCTACTGATTCCAACCCATTTCTTTCCCACAAAATTTTCAGCCTAATCCTTACATTCTTGAGTTATAAATAGTGTAACTATCTCGACTTTCTTTTATGTACATATAAGACAACTGTTATTTTACCATTTGATGTATTTAATATAAACAATGATTATATACCTACTTTGATTTGAATGAGTATGAATGCATCTAAAGGCTAGGTTCGCACTAGGAGTTTTTCGCCGCGCGGCAGAATAGAGCATAATATCGCTCTGTAATATTGTACCAAACAGTTTTAAATTGTATTGCGCGCATTTGACGGCAGAGCCACCGCAGCGGCGAAAGGTCTGTGACAAGTTACAACTTGCTTGCGGCGCGGTGGTTCATAGTTTTTTTGTATAGTGCGTTTGATTTAAGCTGAGCTTTGCATTCGTGTGAGTGCACACGGATAGTGTAGGTGTGTTGTCAAATTTTTGAATGCCACGTTCTTTTCTAGTTTTTTAACCGGTTTATTCTGCTTTTACTCCGCCCCGCACTTTCCTCACTTCACTTTTTGTACCGGTAGCAATATCAAATGTTGAAAACGCAATGTCAAATGAATAAGAATTTGTAGTTTTTTCAAAATTCTTATTAATCAAAATTTTTTTTCCTCAATATTCAAAATATTTCCATCTTGACTTTTACAAGTTTTGCTTATTTTATTGCACTTATGTTATGTATCTATGTAAAATATAATAAAATTTAATTCTAAAGTTTTTTGTCTAACTCTACTTTTACTTTCACTCACACAAATGCAAAGATCAGCTTAAGTCTTACGGACTATAAAATATTTGAATAGCTTTGTATACTTTTTTTGTTTTGCATTTCGGAAACAACGATGGCTACGTCAATTAATTCTAATGATCTTGATGAAGAGTGCAATATTGAAATGATTATATTAGTGAAGTTCTGCATTCTATAATATTTGAAGAACTTGTCGGGGTAATCATTAAGTTCCGCAAATATTTTAGATAACTGTTCGTCGTTTAAACGATTACGAATAAGCGGATGAATCCAAAATACTTTTTCTTTCTTCGAGCTGCAATTATCAGAGCGCAAATACAAGTTGTTTCTACTAAATCCATTTTAAAACTAATAATTTTGACGTGGCACAAAACCATAGTGCGCGCGTTTGTAGATTTTTATTTGTTTTGCCGCACGGTACAATGTCGCTGGTTTTTCTGCCGCGCGGCGAAAAACTCGTAGTGCGCGCCTAGCCTAAAGCTATATAAATATATTCTCAAAGTTAATTTCCATATTAATGTTTGTTTAACCTTAGTCTGTGAGGAGTTGTGGTATGCTCGTAGTTTAGCGACCAAGTCTGTGGCGTCCTTCGCAGCATTAACGGCCAGCGTTTTCGGTATAACGAGTAATGATTGTGCGAAGGCCGCGATTGCTAGCTGCTCTCGGGAACTCTGAAATTGAATGTACATTTATTAGTAGATATTTAAAGTTATATATAAGTAGGGAAGTTGTTTTTTTTGCCATATATTTTATGTACATGTATTATTGAGTGAAGCGAGCGAACGCTATTATGGCGACTCATTTCATTCATGGAGATGATCTCGGCAACTGAATGTACGATATAGTCCATATTTTTTGTTTGATAGCCCAGTTATCTGGTGGTGGTTTTTCAATTTTAATTTTTAGGGCTGGGGTACGGAACCCATGTCCAAAAAAATTGTTCGGTACTGAAACGCTGAGATTGCTTCACTCAATTTGCCTGGAAGGCAGCTTTTTTCGAGCGAAGTGAGGATGAAAATGTAAAGATGCATCTCCTAATAAGATTTAAGACTTTTGCGAATATTCATTTAAATGAAACTAATATTTTTCAGATATACTACGCGTGCTTTATTTCTGTAAAAAACTACATACTCCAAACGTTTTTGTTACTTTTGCAACGTTTCTGCAACGGTCATCAAAAAAACATTAGTTTCATTTAAATGTCCTATTTAGAATTATTGAATTATTTGTCTATCAAATAAGTAGTACCATAGAGTTTGGTCTCCTATTCAGAATTTTTGCTATCATCTAACAAGTATCACAGAGATTGGTATACATAAATCTACATACAATTACTTTCCTATCATATGAGTATTATTGTTCTTTATATATCTAACCAGTGTAGTAGCGAAGTTATCCAGGTATATAGACAGGGCTGCTTCTACGGCTCCTCCGCCGGGCACCACTCGGCCTGATTCCAACACCCTACGTACGGCACACAAGGCGTCGTGAGCTGATCGTTCCATCTCATCACAATACGCATCTGTTGGTCCACGGAGTATTATTGAGGCGGCTGTACGAGATGCTGGCCTGGAAGACATTGAATAATTAGAATGATTAGGTTTAGAGATGATTTAATTGCCATTAAGAACAAAGTTCACTTACATACATAGTAATAAACATTTATAAAGTTAATGGTGACCTTATTTATGCAAACATTCAAATATTATTTTTAATTTAGCCTTAAAATTCAAAAAAAATTTTTCGTTAAATATTTCTTTCGGTAGATTATTGTACATTAGCGCTCCCTCAAATTGTATAGTTTTTTTACCATAATGTTTAGTTCTAGACTTAGGTATTTGTAATTTATGTATATTATTAATGTGATTTAGTCACATAAGTACTATACTTGATAGAATCTTTGTTTGTCATCAATACATATCGTTAATTATTTAGTGTTTAATTTATTAGCAACTAGCTTTCCGCCCGCTGATTCGCCCGCGTGGACTTTGGTTATCTCGCGTTTCCAAGAGAACCTTTCAAGTCTGGGATAAAAGCTATCCTACGTTCTTTCTCAACTCTATATCTGAACCAAATTTCATTAAAATCAGTTGTTATTTAGGCGTGAAAGCGTAACAGACAGACAAAGTTACTTTCGCATTTATAATATTAGTAGGCATTGTGAAAAAAAAAGACCTTAAAAGTCGTTAATTTGCAAAATATTTCATCTCAAACTTTCTTCTGATAATTTCTTCACGGAATTATCACGGAATTATCCACTGGTAGTTACGCGGATTTGCACTACCCGCGACGATATATGATGAGAAAATTTTATAGGCTGTATGTAAGTATGTGATCAATATAACAACTTGTTGTTAACATTAATATAATAATAATTTAATTATTCCTATATAGAACATACCCCTTAATGAGTATCAGCTGATCGTCGCAAATCTGTTCCTGGACCACCTCAGCAGCTTCACCAATCATGCTCGGCTCAAACACCTCCTCACCTGATAAATAGTTCAAATTCAATATATAAGACTATTTTTACTAATACAAATAAATTTTACATCTACTATATCAATAATAAGTATATTTTTTATACATTGTATATGATTTTATTCCCAAAAGAGGGTTGATGTCACTCAGGCGGCCGGTCGTAAAAACAAATAGCCAAAAACTATTCACAGCATCTAAGACAGATCCTGGTTATAGCTGGAAAATTGCCAGGTAGAAGAAGAAGATTGTATATGATTTGAATGCCCATAACAATTCTAACATCTATTTTAAGCAATTCCTTATTGTTTACCGTCCATATTAGTCAATGAAGTCAGGAATGTAGCTCCAGTGGCCTTAGCAATTCTCTTCAAATCTGCTTTCTTACAGCGTCTCACGCCCATAGCGCCGCATTCCACAAAGTATTTGAGACAGAGGTCGTCTATACCTCCAGTACATAAGATAACATTCACTCCAGTCGATAGAATCTTGTGTAATCTTTCTTTTGTGATATCAAGCTCACGAGCTCGGATAGCTTCAAGTTTTTCTGGGTCTGATACAAGAACCTGTCAAGAATATAACAAATTTAATATATATTTGTACTTATTTTGCAAATTATTTATTGCATGTTATACAAATTGCTATTCATTGTAAAAATGTCTTTAATTTATTCTCTGTCCAGGAAAATTTTAATTTTTTTTTATATATTTTTTCCTAAATTTTCTATTTGTATTCAGTTAAAATTATTTGTAAGCATTAATTTTTCTCATTTGAAGGAGATTGAGAAATACTATCTAATACCACATTATTAAGAAAACTATTCTATACAATTTAGGATAAAAAAAAGTATGCAAAATTACATACTTGCACACCCATCTTCATTTTGGTCTTCTGTAGTGAAAAATCGAGACAGGCAATCTTAGCGTTAACAATTTTCTTGGGCATTGCTTGTGAAGCCACAGTACAGTTGAGAGCGTAACCCTTAATCAACACACTCTCCCTTGCACTCCTGCCGTGGGCTTTGAGAATGTTCACAGCTTTTATTGGGTATACGGCATTGCCTTTGGGATCTGTTACTTTGATAGCTTGAGCAGCATCTACTATTATTTCCGAGAAGAAATCTGCATCACTGCATTTTTATTAAGAATATTATGGTTATAATTCATAGAATATATATATGACAGTTTGTTAACACTTACAGAAATTAATTAAATAGAAAATTTGTACATATATTTTTAGCAGTATTAGTATTAATTTCAATTAAGCCAACTCGTTATACTTGTGAAAGCTTATGAGAAAGCATGGATGGTTGTTGATCTCTCACAGGAAATATGCTGAACACATTTTGATTAAATGAAACTAATATTTTCGAATTTGCAGAGTGTTTCTTATTATTTTTAACTGCATACTCCTAACGTTTTACTTACTTTGCAGTACCCATAGTAGCGGACAGACGAGAATAACTAAAATGTCAGGAGCATGTAGTAAAAGTAAGAAAAAACGCGTAATAAATCCGAAAATATTAGTTTTTATATAAATGAATACTTGCGAAAGTCTTATGTCTCATTAGATATAAATAAAGTATAGAGCTTTGATGTCAGATTTACTTATAATATGTGATAAATTTATGTGGTCTCTCCATAGTTTTAATTGGACCATCAGTTACATATAGTTTGAAGTCACATGATAGACAATAGATATAACTAATGTTTAGTTAGTGTATCTATTATATTGAGTACATATAATTTTTTTATCATTCCAAAAGCAACATGGACAAAGTCACGACAAAAACAAATATAAATATAAGTGTATTAAAAGTATTGTAAAGGATACGCTCCGATGAGTTTTGAAGACATGGTGGTCTTAGCGGCGTTGATGATTGATGATCGGCCGATAGACTCCACGGTTACAGTCAAATTGTCTTGAATATATTTCACGGCTTCCTTGCAAGCTAGTCTGTAGCCCGAGATAATGCTTGTAGGATGAATCTTGTTCTTGACCAGTTCATCGGCATTCTAGAATTAGTAGATGTAATATATATCAACTTATGTAATATATAGTATACTTGGTCAGTATTTTTAAGTAATATGATGTAAAGTGTAAAGTAAGTAGATTATATCGTATATTGGGATCTGTCATTCAGTCTTGCTACTAAGTACAAGACACATGTTTTAAATTTAGTATAGTTTTATTGAATACTAAACACTAAATTATAACTTTACTCTCAATGTTAATCCTACTAATATTATAATTGCGAAAGTTTGTGTGTGTGTATGTTTGTTACTTCTTCACACTCAAACGGCTGAATTGATTTTGATAAAATTTGGTATACAGGAAGCTGACGTCCAGGAATAGCACATAGGCAACTTTACATCCCGGAAATCCGCGGGTAACACCGCGGGGCGCAGCTAGTAAGTAATATAGTAGAAACATAAACAAAATATATGAAAAACATATTAATCTTTGTTAATATACCTTCAAGAGTTCAGCAGCAATGATAACGACCGAGGTGGTACCATCTCCGACCTCCTCGTCCTGTAACTGGGCTAACTCTACGAGCACTTTAGCCGCTGGATGTTCTACTTCCAACATTCTAATAAAAAATACATTTATTAATATTGTTGAATTGACTGTTTTTCTGTAAAAACTTATATTATAATAATATTTTTAAGATATCCTACTAAATCTCTCTTCTACCTGGCAATTTCCCAGCTTTAGCCAGGGTCTGCATTACATGTGGTGAATAGTTTTGGCTTATTGTTTTTACGACCGGCCGCCTGCCTACCATCAACCCTCTTTAGGAATAAATAAATAAGATAATTAAGATATCCTACTAAATAAGGTTTACAAATTAATAGTTTAAAAACATAAAGAGACAGAGCAGAAATTTCTGTTTTCCATGTATTCACCGTGCGAGTGGCAGGTCCATGATTACTTAATAGAGAGAGGAGCTTCAACAGTGCCTGGGACTTGCGACCCAAGTGTAGGTTTAAGGGGCCCCTATCTAATGGGTTTTAAATACTTACCTCCACCATCCAAGCTCCTCTCTTTACCTAACCAATTTTGAAACATCTAAAAATTTTATCTCCTTTTATTATATCTATTCATATAGATCTGGACCCGGCACCCGCACGGTGAATCCATTGAATGCTAAGAGGTTTCGTCTCATATATATTTGTAAACTAATACACCATGTCGATGGCTTTAATGTATAAGGGCCAATGTGCAAAATGACAATTTTAAAGTAGAGGCTTTTTAAGTTTGATTTCAATGTATCTTTTAAATGCGACAACTGATGCTTTTGAAACTTTTCATAGCAACTATATACCTACCTAACTAAAAACCTAACTATAAACCTACTTAGTTTTTTAAATATATACATATTTATAATATACATTATATAAGCCCTTATACATTAAAGTGTGTTATTTACGCTTTTTACTGCAATAAAAATAAGTCTTTCAACCAACAAATACACGTTTTTTTAAATGGATGTTATAGAATAGATAATATAAAGTGTTTAAAGCAAAAAAATTAAAATGGCTATACAGCTACTTTGGTCCGTATACATAGGACTCATCACAGTAAATGAGAACTTAATACTTACTTGAGAATGGTAGCTCCATCATTAGTGACTGTTACATCTCCAATATCATCTACCATCATTTTGTCCAAGCCCACGGGACCTAGTGAGCTCTTCACTATATTAGCTATTGAGGCTGCTGCCATTACTGAAAATATGATTATATTACATAGAAACACAACATTTAAACCTATAATGACATTTTTTCATAATTAACCGCATTTTTTTTAACATATTTACAATGGATGACTAACGCTAGGTTACTTTTATAATATTTTTTTAAAAATTAGTCGTAACACAAGAACTAAGTCATATTATCATAATTTTAGACTTAAATTACATGAAAAATAACATGTGGGGTCTAATTTTCTCCATTTTTTCATATATTTTCAAATTTAGAAACCATAAGCATTGCATGTGATCTACCGGGGTATAGTGAGGCATTGTTAAAACTCTGTTATATTACCATTTTGTGTACGAACTGGGGCTCCAGAATGTCTTGTTCCCGCAACAGATAGTGCTGCAGCTAGCGTCGACATTTTATCAAGTTTTATTTATGAATTTATTAAAATAAAAGCTCGTCACACTTTTGATTCTGGAAGAAGAAATAGTGTTGCTACTATTTAATTACTGATGGATGACAACTGTCAAAGATTAGTTTGTTGCCAGTATGAAATAAATGAATACATAAATAATATTTTTTTAAAAGTACTTTTTATTCTAGTACATATTCATAAATAATATTGATTTATTAATATCAAAAAATAATTTGAGCTATGGTATAATAATTGACAATAGCAGTATATACAAGACAATGAAAAGGAGCGATGGCTCCTCACTAACTATACATTTGTAATAAGTCCAGAGATTTTTACTTACAACATTTTTTATAATTTTAACAACTCTACATTGTTCCATTTCATTATCAAGTCCTATGTTAAATAATCATTAAATTCCCATTTAATTTTACTAGTATGTGGTAACTACTACAATTTTTTTGTTGAATTTTTGATATCCAACACGTCTAAATATAGCTTCCCAAAATAATTATGGAATTAAAATGTAGTTGTGGTTAATAAAATTGCATAACAATAAAGATCTTGTAATTGGGTTTATGTTATATATAGTAAACAACAAAGTACTTTAATACGTGACACATATCTTCCAATCTTATGTTCATTAATAATATTTACCTATTTCAAAATATTTTTGAATACTATGGTTAAAAATTAAAAATTTGGACAAATAAGGTTTTATTGGGCATTTGGCTATTTCATACTGGCATCTTTTACATTTTCTTGGAGACACGTAAAGGTGTCTATCCAATTAATATTAAATACTTAAGTTTGCTACTCTTGGAGCAGTGAAAATATCAAAATACCATTTGAATTCCTCTGACAAAAAGAATCCACCCTTTTCTAAGGGAATTACAAACATTTATTTTTATCAAAAAAGTTTTTAAACAAAATTATAGTAAATATTGTAATGTATTTATGTAGTGTAATATACAGGGTGACTCTATATTACACTACATAAATTGAATTACTATCAATATTTAAGGAGAATACTCGGTACATGATTCTCATTCGAATTATGTGAAAAAAATAGGTACTTAAGTTTTGACCAAATTTCCGTATAAATAAATAAAGTGTGTACACGTTCCAAGTGCTCCAAGTGTGTACGCGTGCGGCGGCGTGCTGATACAACAACACGCCACCGCGCGCGAGTGTGTGTGTGTGTGTATACCTAATCTGTAGGGTGTTCACACGATGCGTAATTAATTACATAACTTTTGGTTAACTTTACTTAGAAGTTTATTAATATTTATGTTATATTAATTTTTATTTCGTCATATATGATCGTCAAATATCACGTCCTCAAGTATCGATAATAATTCACCAGTCACCCTGTAAATTACAAAACAATTCTAGCACGTATAGAAATCCTTATCTGATTATGGCAGGACTGTTGCTATGTAATGCCAGAAAAATAATTTTCCAACACAATAAATGCGTTGCAGTGCCATGCCAAGATTAAAAAAACAGTTTTTTTATATAGTGTTGCGTCAATTAAATATTCTACAATTACATTTTTGTTTATTGATAACTTTTGAGAACTTTATTATAATTCAATACTATGAACAGTAGAAATGAATCTCTGAATGGTAAACGCACTACCACATTAAAAGAGCTTTATCCTTTCATTAAATGTAAACGAAGTTCGTAGTCTGTGAATATTTTCTGCCAAAAATATTCAAGCCTTTCAATTTTATATGTAGACTTGTCATCTAAATTGTTATAATGCACAATTGTGCATTGAAAATTTCCAAATAAATTAATACTAACTTTTTTACTTCATTTAATATTTGTATCTAAGTAAGATTTAGCTTATCTCTACATTGCTACATCGTATATTAGAGAACAAGTTTCAATAAGTTATATTATACACAGATTTTGACGCTATTATTAAATGTAGGAAATTTCAATGCCTTGCCAGTATGAGTAAAAAATAGTGATTTCAATGAATTTCATCCATAAAACATTTATTTATTCAAATGACAAGTCAAATTTCATATAAATAAAATTTCCTTCATAATATGAAGATATTCCAAATCTTCATGCAGGATAACGCCGTGTGAAAGGGAAGGACGATAATCTAGATTTATCTTATACGATAGAGTATATGTCGTACGATAATTACAATTCAGTAGAAATTACATCACTGCAAAGAAATAATACAGAGAAAAAAAAACAAAAGAATAAATCTACAAGCAATAGTATTTTTGGATTCCATAATCAAGAACGCTGGTAGGAGATTCAGGAAATCTCAGAATTTGTAACTCACTTCAACAGTCTTAACAAAAAGTGGGAAGTAAAAATATATTTTTTTAAATATTTAACGTAAATGATACGTCCTCTGTCTATAACACAGATTTAAAAACCTATCATGAATTTCGAGCTTTAACAAATTAAAGCTAAACATAATATATTTTATACGTTATGTTCTATAAAGATAAAAGTTTTAACACAACTTGTATTATATAATAGACAAGGAACTTCACAATATCTGATAGACATCATCATATATATGTAAGTTTCCACGTTTATAGTCCCCGCATCGTGTCGCATCTCAAAGCGATAATCTCATTTTCTTGCACCGATAACTTGCAAAACAAATGTCGTCGAGGAACGCGCTTGCGCTTTACTGACGCACGCAAGCGCTCAACTTCGACGCGTCAGTCGCGCGCTGGCCACCGCCGCGTACGGAACCGTTGTTACGAGTTCCGTGTTTAGTCACGCGATATATGGCGCCCAAACAGGGCCCACGTTATAGCGGGTGAGTCTTCATTACTTATGATACAATGTTACCCAATAATTATATATATACTGGCTATGTTCGGCCCAAACAGCGTCTTAGCTCGTGGGCGTGGTAGCGCTAGGGCGGGGACGTATCGAGCTGATAAGAAAAGCCACTGTCAACAAACTCTATTATTATATAAAGTGTTAAATGGAGAAGTAGAGTCATCTCTAGATAGTTATTGATTTTCTCCAGCATCCGTCCGCTACATTCGTATGTGGAGTGAAGTCGCAGGACAAGTCTTGCTTGTTCAACCGCTAGCATCATTTTCCAATTTGTCTTGCGTATTATCTCGTTTCTTTATTCCCTGTGACGTGACCGAGTCTATATATAAAGTTTAATGATTCCCTATTGTACGTCTTTATTCCTTTGAACGCGAGTTATCTACATATAGAGATTATTCTTAATATATATTTTTCAATACAATTATGACCAGTTTGAAGCAGACATTTCTTTAAAGATACAAAATTGATGTAGGATGCGATTTCACTTTATTTTCTAGTATTACATCGGTTTTATAATGTATACAAATATTATAATTTCTCTACTAATTACCCAATTCGTGTTCATATGTAGGTTAAGTTCGGAAATTGTGTAATTTTTTTTCTATTAATTTACTCATTCCCGTTCGTTTCCGTATTATTTATTTGTTTCTACATATTTTAAAATGTGTTATAATAAATATAGGATATTTTTTCATTAAAACAGTATTTTACGTTTGTTAAAAATACATTTTTAATTATAAGAATTTTAAACTTAATATATTATAGCTTAAAATAAAAATATCTACATATTCAATAATTTTTAGTAAATTTCTGTATAATAAATTAACGTTCTTCTATTTTACTGTAAAATATTATTTTTTTCGTTGTACCTCTACGCTCTAATACGGATTGGTGGGTTACATATTACAGACCCAGATTAGACCAGAATTCTAAACTACTACTGCTTATACACTTAGTGGTAATAGTAGCTTTAGGTACAAATACTTATATTTATCTTTATATAACTAAATGTTTACAATATATTATATTAAGGAGATGTGTAAATTTTAAAACAATTTTAATTCCGACCATTTCTATCATGGAGCCCTTGATTCCGAATGATGCAACAAAATAATTATTATATGTTTAATATAGCTGTATTAGTATTATGCGATCTGTGTAGATGGTGTACCAGCTGTCAGATCAACTGACAGACAACTGTCAAACAAGTGACAGAAAACTGTCACACAAATGACAGCTATGTCAAACGCGATCAGCAATTGCATTATAAGACTTTAAAATAAAGTTGATAGTTAAGTTTTTGTACATTATCTGTGCAATTTTCTGCGAATTATTAAAAAACATTTAAAAAAGATACATGGAATCAGTATAATATTTTTCCAGTTATAGCGTAACCAGGAAGTAAGGGTGTAAGGGCGTATACATATGTTACATATATGGGCAACATAAAAAATGTCGACTGGGCTGAATGTAAATGTATTATTATATTCACAATAATGTGTGTACTTAAAGCAAACTTCATCAAAGTTAAAGAACGTTTAAATAGAAATCTAAATACAGGGCGAGAAACTTAGTACAGTAACTCTCACATACACACACACACACACACACACACACACACACACACACACACACACACACACACACACACACACACACACACTCATACATTTATGTATATATCTATTTATATATTTTGTTTTTACAATACCCTACAATAGCTGCGTCTCTATCATATACATAGTTATTGTAGATTTTCTTGAGATGTCATAAATAAATGAATTAGTTATGTAAGTTAAATTAAAAGCCTAGTTTTAAGATCTTTTACGGTCAACCGTATGAGGTTTTCGTGGGTCTATAAATACATCTATAGATTAATTACCAAGTTCCTAGCTGTTCTCCAATATTAATTATCCTTGGTAGTGTCAGGGGTTAATCTTCTAACCTTCCCGTGTTAGAGGAACTTTTATTAATTATTATTTCTTTTATAGAACACACTACACAGTAACCTGTGTTCAATTTACCATAGACTTACACTTTATGGTGCATTACTCAATGATGGAATGAGTTTTATATATATTATTTTTTTTTATGTCAAACGAGCAGACGGCCTACTTGATGAACAGTAGTAAATGTCGCCCATGGACATCCGCAACAGAGATGCCAACCTTTATTTT